ATATATCCGAGCCCTCTTTGTTTCCTTTCCGATCCTGTGATCGGAAAGGTGGGTTTTTCCAAACATTTTCAGGGTCAGTTCCAAAAAGTAAATTTGACAATTGTTCTATCTTCCGTGTCCTGCCGGTTTATTAGTGTCTTGTTTATGGTGGGGACCGATGCGATAAAGAAACTCATCAAGCCTTGGAATTAAGAGTCAAATATGACTACAATATGGAAATGTCAGTTTGAAATATGAAATACGGTCGTGGGAGGTCCCTGCCGTAGAAAAGTTACAAGACAGGAGTTTATTATCCCTGGCTCGATGAATTTATTTGTCGCATCACATTTTGACCCTCATTGTGTTCGGTAAGATCGAACACATAGAAAACGCGAAATTCGGCGCAATAAATTGTTCTTTTTAAAGAATATTAAAGAATATCAGAGAATATTAAGAAATATTAGAGAATATTAAAGAGTATTAAAAAATATTAAGGAATATTAGAGAATATTAAAAAAACATTAAATTAGAGAATATTATAAAATATTAGAGAATATTGAAAAATATTAAAGAATGTTAGAGAATATTAAAAAACATTCAAGAATATTATAGAATATTAGAGAATATTGAAAAATATTAAAGAATATTAGAGAATATTGAAAAATATTAAAGAATGTTAGAGAATATTAAAAAGCATTAAAGAATATTAAAGAATATTATAGAATATTAGAGAATGTGAGCGTTATACAAATTGCTTTCACGTGACAATGTCGATTCCTTGCTTCAATTGAAATTATTTTGAAGTGAATTCCACGATGAAATAGAAGGAGCCTTGACGTACTAGTTTCACGAGCAAATATTGCATCCGTATCAAGTATGGTAATCCGTGTCAAACTTAGAACATTTGATTGTTGATCTGTATGAACGCGTGTGTGTGTGTGCAAGCCATGCATACTTAATGCATCGTTGGCACAGTGCTTATACCAAAACGTACGTAATTTTACGACATTTAATCGTCAAAGAGAAAAATGAAATCGTTTCCATAAGAACGGGGAATTCGAATACGCCGAGGATTTTAGAATTTCATGAGATTTCATGTATGTCTGACGTGGGATTTTAATTCAATTTGAGGTCCACAAGTTCCCTAGGTTCAAATCTCATTCCGTTTTACGGAAGTTCAACACAAACATAAACATTAATAACTCCGACCTGCTCGATTTCTCTTCGCCGATTTCTCTATCGCAACATGAAAATTTCGATTTCATAAATGCGAGTTTACCGTTTCGAAAGGCTCTTTGAGGTAACATTATCTACGATTGAACCAGTATGCACAATATGAAACTGAATAGCAGAAACTGGTACAACGTAATTCCCAATTATGCCGAGGAACGTTTATTACGCGTATATCTAAATGAACGTGGCAAAACATGTTAGAACAACTACTTACACACAAAATTCGTAATTTCGTTTATCGATTGCCTATTCAGGGTTTCGACGAAATTATATTTCATTTATATTTCTGATTCAGTTGAAATTCAATCGATTGTTAATTAATATTAAACAAAATATGTGACTATTACTAATATAATTAATAAAATATTAATAATTAATAAATATTACTAATATCACTGATATAATTATATTATATAATTAATATTGCTAATATTGCTAATATAATTATATTATATAGTTAATATTACTAATATTACTATTATAATTATATTATATAGTTAATATTGCTAATATTACTAATATAATTATATAAACATATATGATAGCTGTAGCAAAGTAATTTCATTTCATCCACCTTCATTTCATTGCCTTTAATGTTTTTGCTGTATGCACGCGGATGCAATTCAGGAAATAAACACGAATATCAATTTTCCTTTGAAGGATGTACATAAAACGGACAAACTATCGGAATTCCTATTACCAGATAATTGAATATGTATCCACAGAAAGCTGTTATATTGGAGGAATTTATTACAAAGAATCGTTATTATCCGAACTGACAAAACAATTCGATTTCATCAAGTAATGGAGTTAGCTATTACTTTGGTGAAATATCAATACCGTCATGCTGCCACGGCACAAAGATTGTAAAGGGAGCTTTAAAATTGATATAATAAAACTTACAACATTTATCAAGACCAAAAGGATTTATTAAAACGTATGTAAATGTACGCTGTTTCACGAAGACTTTACAGTAATAATATGACATTGTTGCAAAACTCGAGCAAAGCACCGAGACCTTAAAACGTTCTGAAACATCTTCGTACATACGTCAGTAGAAATTCCAAGAGCGCTACAACAGATTTCACGCAGTGCTTGAAAGCTTTCAACATTTCGCTTACAATTAGTAAAATCTCAAAATCCTCTACAGTTCCAAGAATATGAATGAAAATTCTAAAAAGAAAAATTAGTAGGAGCGTGTGTGACATAATTCCGAAACTGGAACGAGTAATTAATTAGTAAAAACCATTGAATGAAATATTAAAACGTGATATCGATTAAAAATTGATCTAATTAACTGATATCTACTTTGTAAAGCTAGAATAAAATAAAATTGCCCGACTATGGGATATTATGAAATTTCATAAATGTTTGACATAAATACGCGATATAAAGCTTCATTTAGCTCTTATTTTATTAGAAGTGTTTGAAGTTTCTTTTTTTTTTTTTCATTTTACCTTTGCATTCAACCACCAGAAAGGTATTACGCTGAATTCGTAATTTTCTATAGCGGCATCATATTTTATCGTGCCGCTTGCATAAGTTAAATGTGGCCGGGGAAAAAAAGTTATGGAAAACGCGAAATTCGTGAAAATGCAAGCACTACTAAACATAATTCCAACTTTTTCCCACTTTATTTTTCCCACTAACGAGAATTTCTGGATATTGTTAGAGATAAGTACGTAAATCATTTTCCACGAAATTTTAATACGTATGTCCTTGTAACAAAAAGAAAGTTCAAAAGTTCTCGAACAAAATATCAGTATACTCGCGGAATTTTTTTACCTAATAAAGCATCCTAGTTTTATCAACCGTGGTGATGAAATTAATAAAGCTCCTGAGCACACGCAATAGCTTGTTGCCGGAGGAATGAGAAAATATGACATTGTCGTTTGTTGTTTCGTATGAAACAATGAACCTGTTACTACCTCGTTAAATTCTGCTCGTTTCGAAATACGTCAGAAATTTCTACCATATTATAGAGTTTAAATTATAGAAAATAGAAATAAAGTTAATTAATTTACTTTCTCCATCGATGCTGGAAATTTAATATTTTCTATCTCGACGGACGATCATAGAAAAAACTGTATCCTCGCCAATGGAACTTCCATTTCCGTGCAGCAAACAACGTTAAATTCAATAAATCATGCTCTCGACATTATTCGCTGCTCAATTTAAGAATAAAATTTATTGAGTTACGAGACTTGTTGCCCGATTTTTCGCCCTCCTCGTGCACGACTATGAATAATCTTTGTCACGAATATTAACGAATAGCTTGCGACGTCGGCCAACAAATAATTGTAAAATGTCACGACGCAAGTTTATTATTATTCTTTATCGTGACGCGAATTGAGAATTTCTTATAATAATTAATAATTGCTAATAAAATTAATAATCACAACTTGATGAATTTCGTTGCAGATTGAATCCATCATCATGAATATCTCACGGTACGACGAAAATGAACTAAGAGAGAATATTTGGCCACCTATGTTCAACGATACATCAACGTTCCTGTCTTACGCAAACGACTCAATGTACAATGATTTTGGTACGAATTATGTTATTGATATCTCATTCTTCGAAATGTAATAAACGAATCTATTTGCTCTGGTAAATCAAGTACAAGGCAGAATTTCGTATAACGATATTTTTAACATACGAAAATATGCTACGAGTTTTCAAATATACTACATAAAGCAATGCTCGTTGCCGCTACCTTAAAGCTGCAATGCTTTCTTTGAATTCTACATATATATATGTATGTATGTAACATACGCTACGTATATTCAAAATCGTAAGTATACAGAAAAATTAAATAAAAACAGTTTAATAGTGAGATCAAGCAATTGCTAAAATTTTTACAATAAAACGAAAGTTATAAAATTTTGTCCTGCAGGCGATTATTCTACATGAAAAAATAGAAAAGTTGAAAATAAATAAAATTCTTTCGATTGAAGTTTCGTTTTCGAAGAAATGTTTCGTCAAAAGTGATCTTGCCAATGAGTACTAACGAATAGTGAGATAAAATGTAAAACTCATTGAAATTATTTTAAATTATCCACGCTGTTCATTGTTCAGTTTTCATAAAAAAAAATTTCGAAAACAGATTACAGCCCAAAACGAATTTCGGGAAATTGTTAGAGATAAGTACGTAAATAATTTTCCATGAAAGTGTTAGAGATAAGTACGTAAATCATTTTCCATGAAATTTTAATACGTATGTCCTCCCCCCGTGACAAAGAGAAAGCTTAAAAATTCTCGAACAAAATCAGTATATTCGCGGGATTTTTACCTGATGAAGCAACCTAGTTTTATCAACCGTGATGATGAAATTAACAAGGCCAAAATTTAATATACTAATTAAGATACTAATTAATGTTCTCAATGTAGGGCAAAATCTACCCTTTGTGACAACAGTTCACTACGCGTTGCAAGGGAAAATTTTATTACAAATATGTTTTTTTACGTAATTTTTACGCAATTCAATGCAAGAGAACTTTTAGAATAAAAAAATAAAGACGCAACGTTGGCCATTTAAATTGAATTCGTATTAAAGTGGCGATTTTACACTTCATTTAATGAGATGAATGAACGAATAATTTACAAACGAGCTGCATTAAAATTCCAAAAGATTTCACCCTGTTAGAAATTACTATGCTATTTTATGCTGTCTCGCGCCCTCTTAACCTCATGAAGTATGCCATTTTATCATGTTCTTATCCGTTGAAAGACGGGTAACAATAGCCCATTTGAATAACATATTCTCTCCCTTTCACTTTGTGTACTGTGTGCTCACTTTTTGACGTTTATAACAATAAAGGAATTAAATTCGTTGTATAATCCTTTGGCAACGTTACAAATACGAATAAGAGGTACAAAGTGAATCTCTTTCGCAGTTCTTATCCCTTTCAGTTTCGCGCGACCATCAAGATACAAAATCTAATGTTTTTATTCATGATGCTATTTCACCTTTAAATTGTACGCGAAAATATTCATACCAGTGTCGTGAACGTTCCTCGGAAAAAAGCTGAACAATATATACACCCTTGTTTGATCGAAAATTGAGTATAAAATTTAGGATCAAAGGGTAAAAGGTAAAAGTTTTCAGTTAACTTTTCATCTAGATATACAGAGATAGACGAAAGTATTCGTACACTTGTATAAAAAAAAAATTTTTAATTATTACAGCTTCATTGTGAAAGAAAATTGTACAACAATCCAGTTGGCTTCAAAAAAAAAAAAAAAAAGTTCTTGAAGAAAGAGGAAAGCAAGGATACTTTTATTGCCGAAAATTGTAAAAACTTAAACGTCTTCAAAATCATTGAAAAATTGTTTCATGATTAGGTCTACCATAATCTGGAAGTCTCCTCTTTATAACAACTTGTACAATTTCTTTTCGCCATTTTATCGAACATTGAACATTAAGAGCTCATTTGTAAAGAGGATTTTAATCTAATCGTGAAGAAAAATTTTCAATGTTTTCAGGAGCATTCGAATTTTGACAATTTTCGAAAATTAAATATATCCTCTTTGTTTCCTTTCCTGTGATCGGAAAGGTGGGTTTTTCCAAACATTTTCAGGGTCAAATTTGACAATTGCTTCTTGGAACTAACGGTTCTATTTCCCGTGTCCTGCCGGTTTATTAGTGTCCTGTTTATGGTGGGGACCGATGCGATAAAGAAACTCATCAAGCCTTGGAATTAAGAGTCAAATATGACTACAATACGGAAATGTCAGTTTGAAATATGAAATACGGTCCCTGCCGTACAAGTTACAAGACAGAAGTTTATTGTCCCTGGCTTGATGAATTTATTTGTCGCATCATATTTTGACCCTCATTGTGTTCGGTAAGACCGAACAAAGAAGATACTTTAAAATGAGACTAAGTGGATCATTACGTGATTATTTTTTAAGAAGTAAAATATCGACAATTTTTCATCGTTCAGTTATGCTCTTCGCTGTGTCAACATTAAAATCGATATCACTGTTAAAAATTGTTTTCACGTTATCTTTTGTATTCAATTCGTTTCGAGTACAATCCATCGTTATTGTCTCAGATGGGATTGATTGGATTTCAGAAGACAAATACGAGGTCCCAATCGCCGTACTTGTGCTCCTCAGCATAGCGTATGGAACGATATCATTTTTAGCGGTAGTGGGAAATTCTCTCGTCATGTGGATAATAGCTACATCGAGGCGCATGCAGAACGTGACAAACTTTTTCATAGCGAACCTGGCACTGGCGGACATTGTCATCGGTTTATTCGCCATTCCGTTTCAGGTAAGGTGATGTACATGTTCGGATAAAAATCTGTATTAGAATACAAATTATTCTAACCACAAGAAATATTTGTGTTATAGTTTCAAGCAGCCCTGCTGCAAAGATGGATTCTGCCTCATTTTATGTGCGCGTTTTGCCCCTTCGTGCAAGTACTTTCTGTCAATGTCTCAGTTTTTACATTAACGGCAATCGCGATCGATCGACATCGGGCGATCTTAAAGCCCCTCCGGTACGTCAATCTATCGAATGATAAATTACCTAAATCGAATAGCAAATATCCTCAATTGAATAATAAACACTTCCAAGCAGATATACGTACAAAACGTACACATCATACATTCGACATTTTCCCCGATCTTCTACTGTTTTATAGCCCATAACTCTATATGTTTTTCACTTTCACTCAACAGCGCGAGGCCAAGCAAATTGACCGCCAAATTTATAATCGCTGGAATTTGGTTTCTCGCTGGAAGTTTAGCCACACCAGTGGCAATCGCGCGAAGGGTCATTATGGTACAGGATGGTACTAACGGTGAACAAAACGATCTAACAATAACCGAGGATAAGATCCGACTAATAAGATTTAACTAATCGGTTTTTTTTTTCTTCAATCACAGGTCACTTCAAACCGTTCTGTATACATGTGAACCTGTCTGACAGATCAATGTTCATTTACTCGGGATTACTGGTATTTTTGCAATATCTCACGCCTCTCTCGATCATTTCCTGCGTGTATGCAAGAATGGCGTTGAAACTCTGGGGGAATAAGGCTCCGGGGAATGCCGAAGATTCTCGAGACGCGAATTTAATGAAGAACAAAATGCGGGTATGTTTCCATCAATTTTTTAGAAAACCTCTAAAATTCGAGTCTCTGAAATTTTTCTGACATTTGACCTGATCTCACGTTTCTCGCAGAACGGCGCAATTACTTGAATTAAAAAATTTAATTAATTTTCGTTTAATTAATTTCGTTACTTTTCGGGTTTCTATTATATTCTATACAGTTGTGTTAAATTGTTCGTTGCGTTTTCAGGTAATCAAAATGTTAATAATCGTCGTAGCACTTTTCGCGATTTGTTGGCTACCGCTTCAACTGTACAACGTTTTCCAATATTTTTATTCGGAAATCAACGAGTGAGTAGCGTGTAACTTCACACAGAGACTTGCGCGACCGATTTACTGAGAATCATAATTACAGATACAGATATATCCATTACATATGGTTTTTCTTCGACTGGTTGGCCATGTCAAATAGTTGTTACAATCCATTTATTTATGGGATATATAACGTAAGTATCATCTGGTGGAAGTGTTTCTACATCTCTGAGTGTAAAATCAATCTTTTTAGGAAAAATTTAGAAGGGAGTTTCAACAGAAATGTCCTTTTAAATCGCGGAAATGGTCAGCTAATCCAACAATTGATACCATGGACATGGATAAAACGCAAAGCACACGAGCTTCCATAAGGTAGTCTTTGAAATATATGTATTTTACATGGAATTTATATATGTATATATGATAATTTATATATATATATATATATATATATATATATATATATAAATTACTAGATATTTAATACAAATATATATTTCACATTTCAATAACCAATTATCCATTGTACTAATAAGTATTCGGTGAAACTATATTTAACATTTATATGCATTATTAAATTTTATATTCAGCTTGAGATAATTCGCGCTTGAGATGATTTTTTAATAAAAATATGTCTGTAACAAATATTTTGTTACTTCTATATACATTGTCAAAATGAAGTCTCATAAATATCTGACAATTAGTAAAATCTCAAAATTTCAAATTCATAAAATTTTTTCCCTGATAAATGTTGACAGTATACTACGAAATATAACGAAACTATCTTTGAATGTTACAGATATGAATGGAAGCGTACGATATCTGGTACTTATCCAACCGTGTCGTCCTTTTACAAAGGTATATCAGCAAGAGAATCGACTCAATCGTTTATCGATGATCACCAAAAGAATGTACGAAACAAAAGAGGGATTACCTACTATTTTCGCGGTGGGAATCATTGTTCGAGCAGAAACGAAGAATTGTACGTTTTTTCACCCGGAAGGCATAAACACAGTCAAGGCCTCGACACGAAGGAATTATGTTTATAATACGCAGAATTTAAACCACATACTTATCGGTTAATTTGAATAGCATTAGCGAGACGAAATCTACTTTGTTTGAAATGCAAAATTTGCACGATCCGTTTCGCGTATGTGATATGCAAAGAGGTAAAAAGCAGTAAGTTTAATTAGGGTAATAATAGTTTTCTCTATAAAAAACGATGGTGGTACGAGATAAATATTTTCCACAAATTTTACAATAATTTCTGAACATCAAAACGTGTCTAATTAATCGCGTTTCCTTTTCAGTTCTTCTAAGCGTTGCTCAAGCTTTTCTACGATTTAAAGGTGGTGAACACTTGTCTAGCATTTATTAGATTCATAATATGTATACATGTGCGTACACGAATACCCTTGCACCCTTTCAATTTCTTTGCATTTAACGCATAACAGTTCCTCAATGAACTACTATTTCATAAAACGATTCTCGAAAAATTCTAAGAACGACAGGAATGCTTAGTTGTAAAGAAGATGCAACGATGAATATTTTTGAACTAATTAGATTAATCGAAAGAAACATTCTATTACTAATGTTTTCTGCATTGTGACGCATTTTCCTAGATTTCCTCCTTTTTTATCAATTTTTCCTAGAATCACAGTTATTAAAACTTCATCAAAGAGGTACTACAAAATATGTAAGGCTGTGAAACATTTATTAAAGTAACGTCTTTTTGTTACTGTTACTGTTATAAGTTCAAGCGTCTTTTTATGTAAAAAATAAGACTTTTTTTGCCACGATAATAAAAAGAACTAAAAATTTCTCGAGCGAATGACAATTTACATTTAAGTTAACAACTGAAAAAAGTATTTAGGAATATTAAAGATAAACGTGAATTATCTCTTCAAAGTTTTAAATAAATACTTTAAAAAGATATTGAAATTGCCACGTGATTATCGAAAGATCAGATTACAATAAAAAGTAGCTATTTCATTAGTCTGTATGCACATCTTATATAAAATTATAGTAACGAACAGGGTAATGAAGAGTTTGATTTTTGAACTAATTTGTCCAAACAATTATGGACATATAAAGATGATAAATATAAAATTACAAAATATTATTTCAACTTAATTAAAATTGATGTAATTGATGGTATTACAGAAATAAAATGTTTCTAGTCAATAAATGAACTTCTGTTGCAACATGAAATGTCATATAAAAAGATCTGTAACATAGAAATTTGTTTTCCTATTAAATAAAATGTTACTATATATAATCTTGAAGACACTCTATGCGGATAAATAACTTCAATATAATTTCTGTTTTATGATGAGGAATTATAGAATAAAATTTATTATTTTCCTTAAAAAGTAAAAATAAAAGGATACTACAAAATCAAATTCTGTTTCCTAACGTTTTGTTCCTATATATCTATATTTATCACATATTTAAATTTAACTCGTAATAACAGAATCAGTATTAATCTTAACTAAAATAAAGTACATTCATTTAATACATTTGGTTTTAAAAAATTGCATTGTATATAATATTATATTATAATAAAATAACATTATAATATTGGGAAAAGATATGTTATAAACTGTTGTAAAAACTATAGTTCTATGTCAAGCAATTCATTAATCAAAATTCATATTATTACGCCGTTCAATATCTTTAATCTCTAACATATCCGTTTTGAGACGTAATTTCATTATTTCTCTCCAAATATCCATTCTGTGTTGCTCATTATCAATTCCAAGTCTCAATAGAATATTTTCATTTATTCTGAGCAAAACCCTCCCAGTGATATCATGCTTAAACAAACATAAAGAATGTTGATTTATTATGATCAAAGCAAAAGTTATACAAAAATGTTAGCTGCGTACTATTTAATATGCTCCCTATTTAAACCAACTAAATACTCACGTAAAGAAATTTTTCATGATACAATTGATAATAATCGCTGCAGTGTCTCCTTAACCATTTTTGTACATCTAACACATTCCATAAATAAACTGGACGTGGTCTAGTAGTTTTGTTCTACAATATTTCATTCATTTATAATCAATATAAGCTTTTGTACCTTGAGTTATTGTATTTGTTTCATCAATAACTAATTGAATTTCGTATTTTGAATTGGTATTGTTATCATTTTAACAGTGATAGCATTATCACAACAGAACTGACATACCTTTGGTTTATTAGCAGAATTAACAATTTCTTCTACCATTGTATGCAAGAATCAAAATATTACATTACAAAAAATACAAATAGAAAAGAATAGGTTATGAAAATTTAGAAATAGTACGCAGTTATATATGTTCTGAATGGTATAATCACAAAAATTGTATAAAAAAAATAGAAAAACTAGACAAAATTACTTCAGAACGTTTCCCTTTACTGCAAAAATTATATTACATACTCCTATACTTTGTACTTTGTAATATTATACAAAACTTTGACTCCATTTTGTCACTATGCAGTAATGCGTTTAAAGTGTAAGCTCATAGTATATCACTAGAAGTTGTAATTGTAATTATCCACGATTCTTCGTTGTAATTAAATGTTTGAAATATATAATAAAGTACAGTAAAGTTTAATGTATATAATGTCTTGTATGAATTTAAATTAAATCATAATGCGTCCCTCACCCTACCTATTCGTCAGATATATTTCTCCAACAAATTTTTCACCTTTTCAAAAATTATTCTTATTAGAAAATGTTCAGAGACAGAACATTCTCTATAATTCAAGTCTTCGAAGAGTTTATTGCTTCTTCAAGACATATTCAAAAAAGTTTTTTTTTCATTAGAGTTCCGTTAGAGAGATACCGCGAATGCAAATGGTGCTCATTTCAATTAAAAATAATTTTTAAAGATGTCCAATGTAAATTTTTCAAATAAAAACTCGATATTTCATGTGAGACAACTTATATTAATAAATTTAACTTTTCTAAATGATTAAAATTGCATTTTATTCACTCAAAGGCATGTATACTCTATAGATAATAAACGAGATGATATTGTGAAAGTAATGTTCGAAATTGTTGAATCATAATATCGTATTACCTTCATTTCTTTCGCCAATTCTCTTCTCCACAATTGATAGCACTCGCCAAATGTTACACATGCTGCTAACACTTAATAATAAACAAAAAAGCAGCAAATTAACGAAAATTTGAAACGCGCGGGTACTAACGATTCAAAAGCAATTTGAAACTAACGGAAGTATGCCAACATGATACAAACGGAAGTATGCCAACTTGATACAAACGGAAGTATGCTGATTTGACTCACTAACTTATATAAGGCCACCAACCATTGTTTCCGAAAACATTCTTTTCTGTGCAACTCGCGAAAGAAGATGGTGAGTAACTTTTATTCATCATTTATTTATAATTTCTTTTACGAATAATATATCTTTTAGTATATAATATTACAAAAAAAACTAAAACATAATTTATATTGTATTATAATCAACATTAACAGTGATATATTTGTGAAATATCTAACTGCTGAATGGTTGTCACCATGTGGTTGTCACATTATGTATATTTATAAAATTTTTCAACAAGTTATAGTTCGTAAATGCTAGAAAGATTGTGCATTAAAACGCAATGTTTCAACTTTGAGTATTATATATTAAAAATACTTATATGTTACAAAATGTTTATATTTAACCTCTGTATAACTTACGTATCACTGACATTTATACATTGAAAGAACAAAGTGCAATGAAGAATTATTCATATGGTTAAACATCAATATCATTTTTATTATTTTCAGACTTGCAAACGCAGAAATAGTGGGCGTGCCAAGCATGGCCGTGGCCATGTAAATCCTGTCAGATGTACTAATTGTGCACGTTGTGTACCAAAGGACAAGGCAATTAAGAAGTTTGTTATCCGTAACATCGTAGAAGCAGCTGCTGTCAGAGATATCACAGAAGCGAGCTTTTACTCTGCGTATCAACTTCCAAAGTTGTATGCTAAATTGCACTACTGTGTTTCTTGTGCTATTCACTCAAAAGTAGTTCGTAACCGATCCAAAACAAATCGTCGTATTAGGACACCTCCAGTTCGTAATTTCCCCAGGGTAATTATCAAAGTTATATAGGTTTACATATAAGTTAGTTTTATCATAAATATTTTTAATTTATTACACTATATTCTTATTTTTAGGATCTGCGTCAAGGTCAGCAAAACAGGAAATAAATTACTATGTAAATTTTAAATAAAATAGAACTTAAAATCGATATTATCTGTTTTTTATTTATATCATTTATTCTACAAGTCACAAGATAAATTATTCTAATTTTCCTATAATTCCTAAAGTCGTTTGTTTAAATTTGTTATTACATAATTCAAAATCAATATATTAGTAATGAACAATGTAAAAATTGCATACATCAAATTTGTTATACATGCATACTTCCTCATGAGGTACATAAAGAAATAATACATTTTGGGTGCAGTCTTAACATTAGAAAATACTATCAAACAGCTAATATTTGATCAATTTCCAAAATGTGATGTTATATGTAAAGTTAAAACTTAAGATCTAACTTTTGCCAATAATACATAAAATTGATAAAAATATTTTGCATATAACTGTAGCAAGGACTTTGCATCTTTTTTTTTTGTAAAATTAATGTACAATTAACAATTGCCCAGCACATCAGGGAAAGAATCATTTATTTGCTTCCTCCATTGCTTTCTTTAGCGTTTTTTCAAATATTTTCTTCGAATCACAAAATCCTTGCTTTGTTTTACCAAACGAATTTGGTCCAGCAGAGGTTGGTGTTTCTCTCCCAATATTTCTCATCCTCATCCTTGCTTCTGCTGGCATTTCTTCAGGTTCATCCTCTTCATCTGCATTAAATACAGATGCTACTGTTGGCCTCTGAACTGGTGTTGCCTTTACCGTAGGTTTCTAAAATACAATTCTTATAAGAAAAACAAATACATACATGTATATTTTTTTCCAATTTATACACTATTATTTACCGATGTTGAGCCCAGCTTTATCTGGATACCCTTCTTCTGTTCTGTACCACTTTTCTTGCCAAATCCAAATGCCAGCTTCTGTTTCTTTGCATCACTTTGATTGTAATTACTAGCCTCACAACGGTCATCTGATCTAATCGGCGAACGATCCCTTCCTCTGTCATCTCCCCTGGAGTCCTCTGCTCTGTACACACTTGACCCTGATAACGTCAAACACTGGCAAAGTTCAGATCAAGTTAAACAACATTGTATCTTTTAACCGGAAATATTTAAGCGGCATGCTTAGCACAAATCTCTTGTAATTCTGGATTAAACCCAAACGAATGAAGTCAATAAATGATAATGAAAAAACAAGTACGCAACAGTAACGTACATGTCCTCAAGTCGTTTATAATAATACGATATACAATATATATTTACTTGATAATTTTATTACATAAGATTATCATTCATTCCATTTTTACTATTGTGATGCATCCTTTGGCACATGGTTGTAGGATGCGTGCACCCAAAAATGGCACATGAAACGTAAGAAACGAGATTTAGATAATAAAAATACTATTTCAACGTTTATTTTCGTTCTACGGCAGTTTCATAAAAAAATGTTCAAGGCTACATATTTAGAACTTGGTGTTTCTAAGATTAAAGATTATGGACATGAAATCAATAACGAAAACAAATCAAGTACAGAGTGCTACCCGTTTTCTGTAAGGTACGAAGTAAATATTATTTTACCAAATGCGACTGATACGATTATAAATAAAATGAATAAAACCTTTTCTATATTCGTCTCCTGGATTCCTCTTCGACATTTTTCCGATTTTCTTTGGACGCAATGCGAACGACTGAAGCAATTTAACGCTAGTTACTGCAGTTTATTTCACACTAGTGATTTCTGGTAAGCCTGCCGTAAATAGGGATATTTAAGGAAATATAGGAGCGACTAGTAATTTTTGTTATTTGCCGAAAAAGAAATATGAAATCTAGTAAACAGAACATATCCCTAATAATCACACGTATCAATTATTAATTAATATTAATACGTTAAATATATAACACGTTAATTTTTATCTTTGAAATTGTCTAAAGAATATCCTTTTCATTTGTTTAAATTCTATTATCAAGTTTCTCTTTCATTGGTAATTTCATTTGCCGCTTTGTTCTATATTCTTAAATGCACAACAATGAGTAAGTATATACATATAAGCATCTTGATTTTTCTTAATATTTATTAACCCCTTACATATATTTTCATACGTGACATCATAAATTGTTACTATTTCTTACATTCATTTTCTTCCATCTTCATTTAAACTGAAATACATTGTCAAGTTTGTTAATTTCAAAATAAGATCAATTGAAATCATTGATAGAGAAAAGGCATATAAAGTACATGAAGCGATAATAATCTTACTTGCAGATATCGATACAAAAGTATCGAGTGCGACATTAGTTATCGAAAAGCCACGAAAGTGAATCTATTTCTTTAAAATCGAAGTAACGGATCTAAAATATACTTATAATTTTTAAAAATAGAATCAAACTAAATCATTAACAGAACCGCAAGTACATTAAAAATCGTTTTTTCTCAGAATCTGCAAAAATTGGCATTGTTAGTTTTACAATTTTAAATCAGCTTTTCATTCGAAGATGTTATTAAACAGAATCGGATTCTTACTGGTGAGATTATTACTAAATTCTTTTATTGTAAGAAATATTCTTTTCTGTAAATATCATTAGCTTGATATTCTATTATAACGTACAAATATAAATTATTAGCTTGATCTTCTGTTAAAATCATTATAAATAATTAAATATAAATACTGTAACATAAATAAAGATTTTTAGTCAATAAAATTCACAGATAAGATTAAACGTCAGCGTTTATCATTTCGATTTATTTCAAATCTTTCGAGGCGCTACAATATCTTCAATGATTTCCTTATCAGTAATCGAATTGTGAAAACAATTCAAATAATTCAAGTTTGTACAATTACATATATTTTATACTCTAAATACTTATCACATCATTGCATAACAAATTTATTTTTATTTAACTTTTATTTTATTAAACGTTTGGTTACGTTGATCGTAATTTATATTAATTAAAATCTTTTGCAGCTTGTACTTCCATTGTCAAGATCTTCTGTTATACGCGAGGCAGAACCATGTAATATAATTAAACTCTATGTTATTAATAAATATCTCTTCTTAACGAAATCAAAGCAAAAACAATACAAACTGTTTCAGTGTTTCAACCACCTCCCGTTTGCAAGCATCAACTCTATTGCGAAAACGCACCAAATTATCCAAGCAATATAGTGTCAAGAGAACTAAAGAAAAATCCTCATCTTCGAGGGTATTCGTCTATAGATGAGGTTCGTAAAATTTTAATCGAACTCATTCGCTCAAACATTCCATAATAAGATATGTATAATTCTTCGATCTTTTTTCACCTTTCATGTTACAATCAAGTATAAAAGATACTATAAAAATTTAAAAAGAGTATTTCTGATAAATCTCACACGTTACAAGCAATATATGCTAATTAAATTATACATAATCAGAAGTCGCAAATAGTATTTCTAGTTAGCGTGTTGGTAGTTTAGCTTTAGCGAATTACAATCAAACTGTAATATATTTTTTGAAGATCACTTACACATTTTCCTATGCATCTTTCTTATTCAATAGGTAGATTCGCTCACACAAGACGAGAATGAACCAGAAACGGAGTCGCTTTGTCCCAGTACGGTAAATCATCAGACAGAAAGAGCAATAGATTAACGACTCGATTAATAATTTACTTTTGCAATTTTATTGACTCAATCGTTTGTAAATCAATACAATTCCTTGTTGTCTTAGGAAGAAATTGTAGTTCCTAAATCAGGTCTAACGCGCGATGGAATATGGATGTATATTCTAAATGATAATAATTTGAATCAAAGTATACGCATCGAGCAATGCTTGTAAGTACGCATTTTATATTAGTTTAATTCAGATTAGATGTAAGAGAAAATAAATTTATTTTCAAAGAAATATAATTCATAATAGGGAACGAGATCGATCATGCAGGATGATCAGTGGGTTGGCTCATGGATACTATACACAGTGCAAACAGAGGTACACATATCGTCAACTTTGGGCATTAAATAATGAGGGTGCGATAGTTCAGGATTCATTTCTATTTGCAACAAGTTGTTGTTGTCATGTCAAATTCCGCACTGATAAATTTTTAAAATCATTTGAAACTAAGAGATTTAAATAATGAGGAAAGGAGTTAAAATATTATGCATATATTGCTGTAGATTATTGTAGATTCTTTTAATATAAAATACAATGTAATTTAATAAACTAAATGTGTATAATGCAATTGGAAAATACAAATGCAAATATTTTATCAGTTGTTCGTGAGATACAAAGTATTATCTACATAGGTGGAAATATTTAGCTTTCTATATTGACAAATGCAACTATTTTTTAATTTATTTTACTTTCTTCATATTCATATGCGATATATATTATAATTTTCAGTGGAACCTTTATTTTTGTCATCGACAAAAACATCGTTCTAATTCAAGACAACGTTCACATTTCACGTGTCTTTTTATCCTATTTTTCTATTTTATTTCTATTCCATTTTATTCCATTTCGTCTTTACTTACTATATATCGCTGTGTCATCGTATAACGATTTCTCTCATTTCAGAAAACCTCGTTTCTTAGAAATCTGTATATACATAAATGTAACATAGAAATAATTATTATAGCATCATTCGTGAAATTAAAGAAAAAGAAAATTACAATAAGTTATAATCGACCGATACAATCATCCTGTCACAAATTAGATGACTTTCGTGCTTCGACTACGTAAGAATGTAAGAATCATATTCATATGTGTAACCGGATACAAATAATGATAGAATTCCGCCGATTTACTTGCTTTCTATTCGGTGTATTCAGTTCGGAGTTCAACTTGATATAGATATACTAGACTAGAAATACTTTTCATACTGTATTATATTAATAGACTTTTTTCTATAAATGTTATCACATTGATTGAAAATTTTCTTATCTAATTTTATCACTTTAATTTCTAGATACTTTGTAAATCTAATTGTAAAGTAATTTGATTTAAATTTCATCTTTTATCCACTATCTATTGTTTTATCAAGACACGAACAACAACATTGTCGAGTTTCCAGTCGAATACATATCAATAAGCCTAACGACTTAATAACGACTGTCATTACTCGGGTTGTCAATTATGTTGTTCATGTACAATGAGTAGAAAACGAGGAAAATATGAAAACCATTAAGTCTGATGAAAATCGTGCAAAACCGACTATTTATTATTCCAAGGGACGTACCTGCATTTCACTGAAATCGCTTTCATTAGCGTGCTTCGACTGAGGAACATGAATAAGAAAAGGAAGGTTCGCTTCTTCCTCCTCTTTAACCCAGGATTACCTACCTGGTGGTCTAGCGCAGGTACATCCCGGCGACTAGACCCTCACGTGGGTAATCCCGGGTTAAGCTTTTCTGTTACGCTTGTGGAATTGTATTTTAACATAATACAGTATACAACTGTACCTTACTACTTGTATTTTAACATAATACAGTATACAAAATATAAATTTTCGTCACGGTCATCATCATTGTCTGGGTATAACGAAAGAAAGTAAGTCATCGACATGATTGGCAAATTTCCAAAGTGCACGTCAAATTGAAGGAAGACATGATAAGACACAGGCAGAGAAGAACAGTTTTAAATAGAATGGTATATAAAACAATTAATAATTCGTTCTATGATTCAATATATTTCTATTTTTATACATCCCGTAGAATAGTTAATAATTAATAATATCTACAAAACAGATTTAAATAAAATTAAACGATGTTTTAATTTTTCAAAGACAACTGTTTAGAATATATCTGAAAATTGTTTAATATTCTAGTATCATCGATGCATCAATGAGAAGAAATGGAATGACAATCTGACGTCCAAATACAGATCTCACTTTTTACATACGAAAGGGCAAAAGGATCGCTACCAAATTTTGAGGAAAAGGTATTCACGAGGTGGACAACATTCTCTTGTAAAAGCTAAAAAGGTGGGAGTCGGTATAAAGAGAGGAAATACTCGATGGCGATGGCCAGTGAGTTCAGTGAGAGTGCCGTGATCCTTTTACCGATCTACCGTGAAAGTCAACGATGAAGGTACGCGTTTCAAGATCATTGTGTACCGAATTTTCTTTGGTTTATGTGTGAAGTGCTAATTTTCCTGTCAGAGTCTTGTACTTTCTTCTTCGGTCTCAATTAACGGAATGACACGATTATGGTCAAAAAGGGGACCTTTGAAATTTCGGTCTATGATTCATATCTAGCTGAATTAATTGCTTTTATTACTTTAAAAATTCAGTCAATATATAGTAATTAAATGAATTTTTGTCAGTTGAATCCAGTTACTTAAATAATGAACAAAAGATTATAAGAAATGAAAAGAATCTATAAAAAAGTTTTATAAACTGTTTATGCTTCAACGAGTTCAGATAAATGGGCTTCTATTGTAAATCATGTTTCAAAATTCCTAAGACTTCCTCTTGATAAGATCAAAGTCATTTTAATCTATAATTCCATTAATAAGGTCGATCTATGAGATGATCCCTTTACAGTTCAGTTCCTATCCACGATTAAAAATGGAATCGTTGCGGTTAAAACGGTGAAAGTAAAGAGTGTTTGCTCATAATCTCTCATGGACACAGACGTTCTTCCCAAGATATACACACAACAATGGGGAAAATTGCACTTTATTTGCACACTTTGAATTTCGCGGTGTTTAAAAGATAAAAGTGCAAAGAAACATAACGATCATTGTCACTATCAAGCAGTTGTTTACTCGTGAGAAGTTCCGTCTCTGTCGTTTTGTTCGTTTGAATTAAAATTATCCTTTTTAACGCAAGTCTTCCGAGTTTTCCTATTTTTCGAATGTTCTCGTCGAAAGTATTTCGCTCGGTGTTTGCTTTCCAAATTACTTTTCTGTTTTTTTAAATACATCACTAACTTTCTTTTAATGTTTTTCAAATACATTACTAACTTTCTTTTTGGCTCTACAGTTTAAGAAACAGACGTAAAAGAAGAAAAAGAAAAAAAAATTCCTTACGTGCTTATTATTGTGGTAATAAAAGTGACAAAAGTATCGTGAAAGTTAGCACCGATTACGAGATGAAATGAAACGCGATTCGAATGGGTCCATCGTACGCGGCAGAGTGCAAAGAAAGTTGGAGTGGACGACAAAACGACGCCGCAACGAGGTATTAATCTCGAGCGATCCGGTATAACAGGAAGTAATTTCCGTGATATGCAGATTCTTCGATCATACGGGCACCTTTCTTTCGAAAGGATTGACGTGGCGTGTCTATGATGGATTGATTCTTTTGGACACTTTTTAGAAATCGCATCGGCTGTAATGCGAGGAGGAGCGCATGGTAACTGGGTCGAACGTTGACACCATCAAGTGCAAGGACGCACTGATCACTTTCGTCCGACCGAGAAAATTCACGTTCCCTTCGAGTGGTTAATCTAAAATACGGAAACAATAGAATCTCGCGGTTTCTCCCTATACTTATCACTTTGGCACGATTACGTTACAGATACGCGCATAAATGGAATGTCGGCTATTTTTAACTGAATGAAATGATTCTTATAAATTGGGATTTTTTTTTTTTAATCGGGAAGAGAAATTCCTGAAAAATCATCGAACTTCTATCAGAGCGTAAGATATCGAAAAAAATGGTTGCTATGAAAATTGTCACGAAGGGTACAATAGTGAAAGTTCATAAAGCGTGAAGAACTATTCCTATTCAAAAAACAGACATCGAGGATTGATATTTTATCAAAGTTTCTCATCTTTTCGGTCGTCACTCGTCGTCAGTGTCTTCGGCACAGCCTGTGAAACTAGCAATTCTGTCAGGATCGCGACGATCACACACATGGACATCTTCCAAAGTCGTGTGTCTCGCGTGACTTTCACCAAGAATCGCTCTACTTGTTACATTCACGTTCTAACGTTGCATGCTTCACTGATTTATAAATTTACTGACACATTACACCATTTTGACATCACGTGTTTGAAGGGTATCATTGATCCAATGATACCCTTCAAACACGTTGAAATGATTTCTCCAGCAATTAGCCGTTGATATCGAGTAGAGATCAAAACTAAAAATATGACGTAAGCTACATATATGTTTCAATAAATTTCAGTTGTTGTCACTGCTCGCACTCGGCTGCTCGATCGTCGCGGTTCTGTCGGAGAGCACAGACTCGAGCGAGCGAGCGTTACGAGCACGTGCACTGGCGCAACTCGAGCGCCTGGCTCCTTATCGAAGAACGCCGACAGACCAAGGGACAACCGACGAACAGTGGCAGTTGCTCGAGAATTCGGCCAAGGATCACAGGATTGAGAAACTCAGCGACCAACAAATCTTCGAGATCTATCGGCTCCTGCCAGAGAACCTACAGAGGGACATCGTAGATCGAGTCGGCGGTAATCGAGCGATGATCGAGCTGCTGGCAAACCAGAAATACATCGCGTCCATGCAGGACAGGATAAAACGATCGGGATCGAAGCGCCAGGTGTACAATCACGATGGGTACGAGTCGCCGCCAGACGACGGATATCCGCCGGCAGAGTATCCGCCTGAATCGTACGGGGAATACGAAGGACACCCACAGCCGTCTGGATCCGATTCCGGAGCGATTCTCAAAGGATCCGGCAGTTTGATCGGTGGCTTGGCCAAAGGGATAATCAACGGGCTGGTGAGCGCTTCCGGCAGCGCATCGAAAGGATCCTCGTCGGTCTCGGCGCAGAGTTCCCAGACGAGTGCCGAGTCGAGTGCCCAGTCGAGTGCCCAGACAAGTTCATCAAGCTCGAACTCGGGCGAACACGATAAACCAAAGCCGGAATATGGACAAGTTTACTCGGTAACTATGTAGAGATTCGCAGAGATTTGAACGTTACAGTTAGAACGAGCGGGCTTCGATTGAGATATATATATATATTAATCGATTAATTTCGTTACGTTCGCACGGATTAGAGTCGTATCGGCGTTACGTCTTTTTTGGAAACGAGAAAGGATATATCTTTTCGAGGAAACGCTTCTTAATGAAAAAAAAAAAAAAAGAAAATTCCTGAAATGAATATACCTGCTGGCGGAAGTTCATGTATGTGCATGCTGAAACGAACGGATGTCAGGAATACTGGTACTTGGAGACAAGATTATGAAGGCTTCTGCCTTTGTGGTGTATATGTAATTCGCGTCGCAGGTGAAAGTGAATTCATCTGTGTAGAAAGTTCGTTTGTGTTTTGATTTTATGTAAATTTTTATATTAAAAGAAAGAGAGAGAAAGAAATAATAAATAAAAGGGAAAGAGAAAGAAATTTCGAAGACCGGGACGCGTGAAGTTTTGTTGAGCATTTTTAAACGAACCCGTGAACTATAATCAAACACTCGCTAGAGTAATTAGAATTAGGATTGGAATAGGATAACAAATGTAGAAACTATTAGTACAAACGATATTATATCGATATTAACTGCACGAAAGAGAATCATTATGTGGGTCGTACAGACTGCAATTAAGGAGGGAAATCTTTAACTGGTTCTTGTCTTCGCACGCTCCTTAGTTAATCGTATAATATTTCAAAGAAGAATCTCACGATGGAAGTAAAAATAACGTCAAACATGTCGTTGAACGAAATTAGATGGATAGAATGGAAATTCATCAGGAGGAATTTTTTTCTCTCTCATCTGTTCGATAGTAGAACAAACTTTTCCCAAACGAGCACAAAATCGTTTTATGAATTTATCACATTAATCGGTTCGCGAATGTGCAGCCGGATAGAAATTTACTATTTCCATCGTGAAATTACGATGCTCGAGTGATCCACGTCGAGTGAAACAGGTCGACCGTAATATGTCATCACCGACCATTCAAACCTGTCATGATCGAATTCGATTTGCAACGCAGGAGCAACGACAAAGAAATTGTTGAATTGTAATTCAAAAATTCCAAAATTCTCATGGGCGCTTTTACGCATTAACTAGAACGCGGAACGTCAGCTGTGTGAAAAGCAACGAGTAGTTCACGTTAGCGTAGTGCATATTGTTTTTTCTTTTTTTTTTCTATATATACGTATTAGTGTAGAGGCTTTCTTATAATAATCTCAGCTGTATCGTGCAACATATAATACTCAATAAAGTAAAAGATTAAATCGCATCTCGACTAATTTGCGCAACACGTGCCTTGTTAATGGAATTTTTCTATGATAGTACAGCGATAAGGCGTTCGACGTGTGGGACTTCAAAAAGGCGATCATTAGCACGTTAATGCAAGCGGTAAAAGCCATAACTGGCGGTGTGATTGCTTTGAAAGGTCAGCTACTGAAAGGAGGCGCTTACCTTATCGCGTCCAAGACCAAACTTATTACTAAAACCGGGGATGCTATCACAGCATTGGGTACTAATATCGTCAAGAACGCCGCGCATCCTTACGCGCAGCCACCGCATCCTGGATACTTGTACGATCATCATCCGCAAGTTGGTGAGTCGTTTTCCAATTTTTTTAAACTTGGGTCGCTCAACGCGCGCGTTGATCGCTCCGTTTTCTGCTCGATAATTTTGTTAACAGTTACGTCGCTCGATTAATTTCGATAATGATCATTGAAAATCCTTCGAAATATCTGGAAATTAAACGGAACAATGAAACAAAACAGGTCACGAGGACGTCTACGAGGGACCACCGCCCAGCATCGAGGAATATGGCGAGTCCCACGACGGCTATCAAGGAAACACGAATTACGAATCATCCTCGGACGGTGAGAATTTTCGATGTAAATAACGATCACGTTACACCGTTGCATCAACGCCGGAGCACCGATTTTAATACCTTTTTGTTTCTTTAGAATTTCCACCGTGAAAAAAGGAAATTCCACGCATGTAACAGCCATTAAATCATTAACGCGAAATGCACTTACATCCTTGATTCGAACGTACGATACGCTCGTGGATACAGGTAGATAAGTATGTTCTCGTAAAAGTATTCGGCGAGAGGCGTAGAGTGTCGAAGAGGACGTAGAGTTACGCGTTTTGAAATAAAGAAAGTAAGAGCGATCCTCGCTTTCAAACAAGATCCTAATCTCCGGAACTTTCCTCCGCGTATGAAGCGCGAGTGAAGAAGAGAGATGGCTCGCGAAAGAACTCTCGTAATGGCATCTTGAACTCGTTGCATTCGGTGTTTTGAACTTCATTCCTGCGAATTTTCCTCTCGCTCGTATCACTGTCGTATTTTTTTTCACGCACTCGACGTCTCAACGATCATTGTCTCTCTGACTACGTCTGCAATTATTCATTTTCCGTGAGAATGATTCTATCTCCCTCTCTTTCCTCGGTGATCTTGAAAATTCAAAGTTCATCCACTTTCGCTTTTTCAACACCTGTTCAATGGGTGAGCCACTTCACTTTCTCTCAACGAGATCATCGTTCCTTTCAGGAACGATCCTAAGATAGATTTATTAATTTGCATTAGTCAGGATGTATTAACCTTGAAACATTACAATGACTTTCCACAAGTTTCTGTTCTGCCTACATTTTCAGACAGTGCTGACCCTCTCTTAGCTTACACTTTTAATTCTTCAAATATATAAATTGTACACAGATTGGATCAACTGAGATGATATATACTGTTTTGTTAATTGATTGCTAATTCAATCAGTTGATCAAATCAATAATCAAAAAATAATAGAAGTATTACGAATTGAAAAAGTTGTACAGACGTTATTATTGATACATTCACGTTGTAAATACGATTGGCAAGATATTAAAACATTAAACGAATCAATTCGTTTCACGAACTTGGTTTAGAACAACCAAATGACTTCGTGAGACGAAAGATCATCGTTTAGACACGACTGTTGACAGACGTCACGTTTACAGTCGATGACCAAGCGGGCCTTCTGATCGTGAAACCAACGAAACCAGACAATCACGATCACCACACCGTGGACTTGGACATCCGAAAACCCGCCGTGACGCACTCGGAGGGCAATTACTACGGTCCACCGCCGGGACTACTCGGCAAGGATGTCGAAAACACGGTGACAGGAAACACGCACAGCTATCAAAATTCAAATCAAGACGATTACAATGTGAAACCAAATCACCAATTGCCATCCAGCTACGACGTTTCGATTCAACAACATTCGTCGAACGATCACGTCAAAGAACAACATGACTATCAAATCTATCCGCCTCTTGCTTCACCGTTCAACCATCACAGTCCACTCTCTGTTCAACAGAGCGTCGAGTACCCGCCGATACACATTCAATACTCTCTTCCAGATAAAGGGAACTCGGAGTTCAACGGAGATGCGAACAGCAACGACCTGTCCGTGTACTCGAGCGTATCGATCGACACTGATCCTAAGATTGAATCAATCAAAATATCCGCGGAGTTGCCCAAGTCGCAACCGCACATTCAGAATTTCCCGCTGCTGCCGTATTCTTATCCGTTGCAAGGACCGTTGAAAATACCGCTGTTGAATTCGTACTCGTCGCCGTATTGGCAGAATCAGGGTGCGTTCCAGTTGCCGTACGCCAATTTCAATTTTCACGGCTTGTACCGAAGGAGAAGCAGCTCGCAAAAAAGGAGATCCGTGAGCGAGATCGCGCAACGTATGAGACTGCAACAAGGCTAAATCTGGAGATAAGTTCGACTCAGGTTGGTAATTGGAATCACATTTTTGTTCGAATAATTTTTATTAATCATAGATGACGAATTTAGAAAATTCTAAAGTTATTCAAACCAGGGGGTACGTCGATATTATTGGTTCTGTTATTTTTGAATCGTCCGTATATTGTTCAGTTTTCATAGTTCTAGATTGTATAATGCGACAAAAATATCGTCTATTTTGTCGTTCGAATTTTCCCTGGCTCGTCTACATTTATCTTTAAACATCTCTGATATCCTTTTCCGTTCCAAATAATTCTGTCGCGTCTCCCCCTTTGCTTTTACAGTTAAATGTACTCTCCTTTTACTCAGATTTACTTTAACATCTGTCTCACGTTCTTCCAATATTTTGTGTTACAGTAATCTACTCGTACGTGAATGGATTCAGAACATATTCCACGCATTTCAGATCCAGAACTATAGTGAGTCTAAGGGAAATAATGTTGGTGTGTGTAACATTGACATGCAAAATTCGTACAGAATTTTGCGCAAAGACTGAAAGAAAGGCATCTCTGTACACGATGGAAGTGTTAGTTAGGAACAATTTATCCATATGTATATTCGCGTGTATGTGTGAGCGTGTCCGTTTCGCCTCGTTATGAAAGGAAATCAAGAAATTCCACGGATTCAATTCCGAATCTCGAAATTCTTTGTTCTGGAAAGAAAAAAAGATACGGCATGCGTAGTAAGGTAATAATAAATGTTGAATAGTTACCGGCACGAGTCAAGTTGGAGGACATTTTGTAGTTGAGTCGGTGACGAGCTGTACGATCTTCGTTTCTCGCGACAATAAATATTAATATTAATTTTTATCTAGTTTCGTTGACGAAGATGTATGACAGAGCGTTGGTTCATTAATCGTGACGATTGAAGACGACGTGCGTGTTGCATGAAAGTGTACAACGCTTTATCATGCAAATGCTAGCTCGAGGAATGCTAATGTCGATTTTTATGCAGCGAAGGAGGCCATAATGCGATTTACTATTTTATTCCTTCCTCTCTTTCTTCTGATGCTCGTTAGAACTCGTAATTATAAGTATCGTAATATTTTCAACGACCTAACTTTGTTTCAATTAGTCTTTCACAGTGTATATACAGTTTTCAAATCGTTTAGAGAATCGTCTTTTTTTATTTTCACGAGTTTGAATAAATCTTCTCCGTTGTTATCGCTTGTTGCTATCGTTTGTTATCGTCGAATAGTTTAATAAATTAATATCATTTTAATTTTCTATCTCGAATTTCATTCGCAAGTTATAAATATCTATTTATATGATTAACAGATACGAGACGGGTGGAAAATTCAAAGAGAAGTTTACCTCGTTCTCACATTAATTTATAACGACGACCGTGAAGAACAACGAACGATATTCATAAAATAAAACATGTGGCAACATCCAGCCTCGATCTCCTTTCATCAAGCTTCCCATCGAGTGCAATGAACCTTCAATCCCGAATGGCACCCGTTCTTTCCAAATACTTTCTGCTGAAAGTTACTGTAAAAGAATTTGTCGAACGACCGGAGAAACGACTGAAAAAGGTCGATGCCTCTTACGTTTCTAATTTCAATCGTGCCGAACGCTTATATAAAGCTGCGTGACATAATTTTTAATTCTTCGTTTTTTTAATAATAAATCTAAACGCACGTTGATATTACACTCTCGTGGCTTTAAAAACGGATATAGAGAGACGAGGTGTTGGAAAACAAATATCGACGTAGCAAAGGCACTTTAAAGATCTGATGGACTGAAATCCAATTCGTTGTCGCGCGACGTCACGAGAGAAAAGACAGAAATCGGCGAAGGAATGCGAAAGTTACCATTTGCTCCGGTGAGAAAGATTGAATGGCACGGTCGCATAATTTTAGTCATAAACTCACGTAGCAGCGCCGATGAACATAGTGGGTCACTGGATCACACACGTTGGCCCCCCGCGCGTATCCACGCACACAGGTGTATCTTCGCGCGGGAATCCAGTAGCAGGATATGGAGAGAAACGGTGTTTAACCGGTCTTCGATCGTTCTGTCCATCTGTCGACTCGTAAAGGGTCCTTGATACACTCGCAAATCGACTTTCCTGTCGTCGAATTCCTCCTTCGTTCAACAGGTATACCAAAATATATACCACGCTCTTTACAATCAAGACGAACACACACAATTTTAATTATTCGTAAACATCAGTTTGTAGATTTCTACTTGACGTTGACTGAACTTGCAAAGCTGAAGACTTGAAGATTACGCGCTCGGTGTCTTAAAGTCCAAGGCTCGGTCCGAAGTACCGTTTCTGAGAGATATTCACTGCACATGAGTTCTTTCAGTTCTTCACATCGGAAGAAACATCGGGAGAAAGGAATGTAAGACGGGCAAGACGTCTGTATTAAAAATACGGAATTTCGAAGAAGCAGCTGATACATGAGTTATTTGACTGAAGAAAATTTTGAAGAATTCAAGTCGATCAGACGTTAGCGATAGTTTATAGAGAAACCAACGATGACCAACTGCGTCAAAGTGTGTATCGTTTCTACAACGTAAAAAAATAAACCATCAAAAGATCGTAACACGCCAACAGTTGAAAAAGATATTACGAGAATAATTAAGAGATTAAAAGATATTCACTTACGTGATACCGCGTTGCACTTGCAGGTATCGTCGGACAAACAAACGTGAAATTGAGAATTCCCGTGGATTTCCGTAGAACCCATGACTTTTCCCGATTATGTTCCGCATTTCGAAGCAGCTGTTATCCATCGGAGCAAGGTAGGAGGCACAACGTTTCGGCCTTCGATGATACGTTCGCCGGTTGCGAGTATAAATGAAGGACAATGACCTAATTGCGTGCAGAACACGCAGTGCTTCCTCAACGTCCAATCATCGTACGTACGTGTCAACTCGTGTTCGATTATTTGTGATCGTAACTTCCGGCATATTTTCCTCTCCTTGTTTCGTATCTTTTCTTTCGTTGCTTCCCGTCTTTTTTCTCTTTTTTTTTTTTCTTTTCCTTCCAGTGAAAACGACAAGTTATCACAGGTGATAAATCGGACAATTATAATTTCTTCGTCGAGGAAACTCGTCGCTTGGAAAGCTAAACGATGAAGGTAAGAAGATCTCAAGTTTTCAGCACGGTCATTGTTGCTTGTGGACGTTTTGTCAAGTACTTTGTTCTTGAGTAATAATAATAAAATTTATTATCATTCGCAGAATTCGATGGAAATTGTGTAGCTTCCTTCGGTTTGATTGATTTGCACCTTCTTCGACTTGATGGAAGATCTGCAAATTTACGATTGTTTAAAATTTTTCTTAAAATTAAATTATAAATTATATTTCTTTCACTGGTTCGAACTTCGAGAAATTATCAAGTATAAAATAAATAATCAAATAATTTTAATGTCCAACTTGTCCGCAACTTTTCTATTGGTTTTTGTAATAATTTTTATGTATATTGATGAAACATCTTCCACCGTGTAATTTTAATTTCAAGAATTTCGCCTCGTACAAAGTTGCTAAATTAACTAGAACCGTTTCCGTACGTTGGCATACAATTTGGCTAATATCACGAGCATTAGTTATGCCACGGTATTCTCCTTATTGTACTATGACGGACGAATATACAGGTACATATATAGTTACGATTGAAAAATCAAGTTAATAGGTCTGTGTCCACCCAATGTAGAAACTAGTAACCGTTATATGACAAAAACAGAATACTCGGCCGATATCATGATCATTATCGTTACAACGTGAAATAGCTATACATTTGTTCCCTCGTTCTCGAGAAATCTTCTTCGCCTAATTGTAAGAAAGGATATAATTCGCACGTATATATAATTATATAACGAAAAACAATACATTGTATCAAACTCTCTCTTATACCGTTTTTTTTTTTTTTTTTTTTATTAAGTAAGCGTTTATTATTATGTTACGAATTGTTACGAGCAAAAAACAAGAACGAGCGTTCGACTTTTCACGGCGAATCTTCACTCATTATCGGAGCCTTTCGTGCACCCGAGAAATGAAATCGCGGGCATCGAGCGAAAACGAAGCGTAATCGTCGCCGATGCAACAAGTTGCATCCACGATCCTCGGTTTCTAATCGATCGGAGTCGGATCGTTACTTCCACGCTCGACTATTCCCTTCTCGAGCACCGCTCCTCTCTTAGCTTCTTGCTACCCTCGCTTTTTCTACGTCGATGTAGCACATCGTCCCACTTTGACCGCTAACAACTCGCGGCACTTCTCTCTTCGGTTTCATTGCCGATGCCAGCGTTTCTCAAACTATATATATATATATATATATATATATACACATACACACACGATCGGTTAACGACACGCTGAACACCATTGTCACGGTCACGACCGTTCAGCAACGTAACAGGTTGCGAATGGCCTTGAATACAAAAATGGTTCTACTCGGAACGGAATTAACAATCCAGCTTTATTACGAAGTCGTAACTGATTTCTCTTTCTCTCTGTAATAAATTTAGATATCACAGGATCAATTAATCGTTGTATGAACAACAACAGTTTGTATTGAGTTATAATTTATAATTTAAGTCAATAATCATAGAGATCTCCGGTGTATGACTGGGTTACGTAACGGGTTTTATCTGTTGATCCACAAAAAAAAAAAAAAAAAAAAAAAAAAACCGGAGAAATCGCGTTATGTTTTATTCAAGAAGGTTTGAGGACCACTGGCTTACAACGCGCGCATTGACTTTACACGCGACCATAACCGCGAAGAACGAAACTAAGCGCACGCATTGATACGCGAATACCGTAAGACAGGTCTGGCGGTTTCCGGTTTCGGTGTGTTCGCTTCTCCGACCGTCGATCATTATAATATGTATGTACGTATATATGTATATTAATCACTTGCGCTGGCAACCGTTTGCGGACCATAACGAGCGACCGAATCGTATACAATAATTCGTCGCTTTCCTTTTGAACTCGTCGATACGATATCACTGGGGATGGGAATTATTGAGAAATTATTGAATAAATTTATGATCTGTTTCGCGAAAATATTGCAATTTCGGGAGAAAAAATTCTCGACGTCATTCCAGCGCAAGAGCTTGAGCTTCTTTAACGAAAAGTTTCTTAGAAAAAGGATAATGAATATACAAGAGGAGATTCAATTACCTTGATAAACAACCGATCAATTGTCAATCTCCGTTTCAAGTAACAGACACACCCAATTATGAACCAAATTTTCAGGCGACGAGTTGGTTGTGCTGGTTGTTGGTCGCGTGTGCCTGTCTCGTCGAAGCCAGGTACAAGATCAGAAGACCCCCGTTACCACCTCCGCAGCCTCCTAAGCTGATGTTCAAGAAACCATGGCCGATCGCCCATAGGATCTCCGTGGGGAATGCGATGCACATGAACGGGAACTTCCCGGCGAAACGAGTGCTCCAGAAACCACCGAATTACAGGTAAATGGAAGACATTTCGTCGAGGTTTCTCGCCTTTCGTCGAACTTTCGACTTTTTTTTTCCGCCCCTCCATTGATTTTTGTTTCTTTCGTTTAAGAATTCGTCGGCCACCGATGTTCAACATGCCTCCTGCCATTTGGAAGAATCAGATCCCGATAAGAGCCTCTTTGAGCAATCACGCGGTCCTCCCGCAGCGTCCGCCGGTCAAGGAATTCCATTCGGTGAACAAGATGCCGGAATATAGTCCGGAGTACAGGCCGGAAGCCGCTGTTTTATCGCCGACGCACAGGGGCGGCGTCGACGACGACAAAGGTCCGATTCACACCATCCCTGCGCCGAATCTCAGTCCCATGGACAAACCTTTCAACAACGAAGCGAATACGGATGAGATTCAACGTCAGCAGGCCAGCGATGCTGCTTATAAATTTAATCTACACGGTTGGTTCGAAGTATTTCTAGATCCGGTAGATTATACTCCTGGGCTCCAGTAGTATAATCATTTAGTAGTTTCCAGCATTAAATTCTTCTATATCTGTTCTAGATTATATTCTTCCATTCTATCGTTTCTTCTCTTTCGTTTTATGTTCTTCTTTATGTAGGTTCCCTGCTACCAAATTTCAATCTCGCGACCATCGGTACGAGTCTAGCACCGCAGAAGACCGTGACCAGTCCAACGCCGTTGCAACATCAATACGAAGTGACCGAGGGCAACGACATCAGTCAGAAGGAGTATCAGACCATTCTACCAACGTTCCTGCCCCCGGAATACGCGACACTGTCGACGCTAGTGAATCCCGACTTGCAAACGAACGACGTTTTCTTGAACAATCATCCGGCGTCGAATATAGGCCTTATCGGGACGAACATTCAACTCGGCCAGCCAAACTTACCCATGCAAACGAATCTTCACAGTTCTCTTCACGTTGGTTTCCCCGGCACAGCTGGCCAAACTCCCTACATCATCAATCAACAGATTCCTGATCTGCACGTTGGTCATCCAGCTCCGGCTGGTCCTCCCCTTTCAGCGACGCAACTCTACGATCTTCTGAACAGCTTCCCGCAAAAAATGCCAGAGCAGTATCAAACCGGTGAGATTCTCTTCTTTCCAATTGTTTTTATAGACTAACATGTATCATGATAAACTAGATTAGAGTACGTTGGGCAAAGTGTATCACTTTTTAGTAAAGAAATCTTCACGCGTTATCTTTTATCAATATGGAACATCGATACGGCCAAACAATGTCGTTCAACCAATGTGATAAACGATCTTTATTCCAGGTCAACAGCCACAACTTCAACAGCACATACTACAACAGCAACTTGGTCAACTCTTCCAGCCTACCGGCGTGACTGGTTTCTCGCAGCCCCAGATGCAATCGTTCAATTACGACGAGCAAGATAACAAAGAGCAACAGCAACAACAGGTGTTGCTCAACCAGGATTACGTCGCGGGAAGAGTCAATACGAATTACAACGTGGGATCGGAGACTTCGGCAAACGAAGAAGAAGAGAACCCTGACCTGCAACAGAACGAGGATCTCGCGTACATCGCCGATGGAAACGAACAGTTGGAAAATAACATCGAATACGAGGAGGAAAGCAGCAATCAAAAGGACCAGACGACGTATTTCAACAAAGTGGCGAATAACGATGGGATATCCACGCAATTCTACACGACGCTGCCTAATCGAGAGGCTGCAGAGAAATTGGCAGCTCTGGCAGCTGCTGGAAATGTTAACAGTCAATTGATCGGACAATTGCGAAAGCAACAGCAGCAGCAGCAGCAGCAGCAGCAGCAGCAACAACAACAACAACAACAACAACAACAACAACAACAACAACAACAACAGGAGAATATACATAACGACGAAACTATGCCTCCTAATCACAAAAACGAAGAGTATAAAACAAACGAACAAATCAACGACGATCAAAGTCGTTACGATGAGAAGTATTACCAGAATCGACAGAAGCAACGACAGCAGCAGCACGAACAACAGTTACAACAGTACGAGGAACGGCAGAAAGAGTACGATAGACAGCAACAGCAACGTCAAAGGCAAAATGCATACAGCAACAAACGGCCATTGAGAATTATGGTGCCTGATGAAAACGATTACAACACCGAGATACAGAGCGAAGAGCCGAAGGAAAATACGGAGGTCGAGTACGAGTATGAGAACGACGAAGCGGATGCTGGAAATTCGCAGGCAAACGCATCGTTCGACGGAAGAACGTCTTACGATCGATCGAACGTTGAATTTGGATCGCGTTTGAGTTCCAAGACTGGAGTATAAATTTTTCTTATGAAATATCTCGTGTATATACATATATCGTTGGACGCTATTATTTATTACAGTCCTATTTACCGGTCAGCTTTATTTTTACGGGGATTTCTGTGTAACTGTAGGCAACGCATAGGGGAATTTCTCTAAAGCGGGAAATTTTACGCTGTTTTTGCAAAGTACGCCGACGAAATGTCTTTCTTTTTTTTTTTTTTTTTTTTTCTTGAGATTACCATCTGAGATTATAATTAGAATTTTTATCAAATGTTCGTCGATGATACATTGGAAACAGTCACACGGAGAATAGTAATTTATTTATTATTATTTATTGTTAGGTGAGTTTGTCAATGTACTCGCACTTGATTGTAAAATGATGGACAAAAGATATTGCCATTGATTTACAGAATCAATCTTTTATTTCAGTCATTGCGCATCACCAATCTGAATTATACATTTATATGTATGTACATATGTATCATTGAGGTAATCTATCCATATGGTACAGGAATTATTTTGGTTATAAACAAAAGTCTAGGGAGAGATTCTATTTTCTCCAAGGGTCGTTTTCGCTTTTGTCTCCTCGTTTTTACAAAATTAAATAAGAAAACGGGCGTACAGTAAAAAATACCTTAGAAGAAATACATGACTGGAGTTAGTTACCTATAAGAAAGGGGAATCCAATCTTGAAAAACAAAACAAACCTCGCATGGACCGAATGAAATCAAAGATAATTAAAGCAGTATAATGCTTACGTATTCACAAAATTTGAAATGACATAAACTGACGACAATTTACGGCGACAAGTACTACTATGATCGATCCATGAACCATGGTTTCCCATCATTTGTAAGTCGTTTCGTGAGAATGTCGCAACCAGTTTCGGTAACAAGCAGCGTGTGTTCGAACTGTGCCGACCACTGGCCATCCGCGGTAACTGCTGTCCAAGTATCAGGCCACATCTCGTCTCTCCATGTGCCTTGAGATATCATTGGTTCTATAGTGAAACAGTGTCCTGGTTTCATGACGCCCACAGCCTTGTTTTCTATAAAGAAACAAAAGCAAGTTAAGCTGAAACAATCGATCTAACGTAACGACTACGAGTAAAGATATTTACTAGCATAATGAGGTACGCTTGGCGCGGTATGGAATAAACGATGAATTCCATGACCGCAATAACTCCGTACTACACTGAATCCATGAGCTTGTGCATGTTTCTGTATAATATTCCCAATTTCCCTATATTTTTCGCCAGGTCGTACGATATCTATAGCTTTCGATAAACACTCATGTGTAACTTCGACTAATTTCTTTACTTCGGGTTTCACATTACCGACTAGAAATGTTTCGTTTAAGTCACCGTGAAAGCCATTATGATACACAGTTACGTCAACTGCAAGAAACAAGGATTATAATAATTTTTTTTTTTTTGTGCTTATATTAAATCTACATTTAAGTATTTCAGTACCATTGCAAATATCTCCATCTTGGAGTGGTCTGGTATCAGGAATACCGTGACAAATCACTTCGTTAACAGAAGTGCAACAACTAGCTGGAAATTGATAATAATTCAGCGGAGATGGATAGCAGTCTCTTTCAATACAAGCCTCATGAACTGCCCTATCTATCTCTGCTGTAGTAACACCTACATCACAGGTGCGTGCAGCCTCGTCCAAAACTTCTCGCCCAAGCTATGGGAGTAATTTTCATTTATGTTTTCTTCTTCGTTAAAAAAAAAAGATACGCGTGAACACACAATTAACAAAAAAACAAATTTCTGCGAGTAGCAAAGAATTAACGCGTCGCTGGAACAGCATCACTCCGATTGGAGTGGTCGTCGGTCAATGTGTTAAAGAAATTTCTTGATACTTTCCGTAATTGTTATACCTTACAAGCCACTCGCATCCCTTCGATTTCTTCGTCGTCAAGAATTTTTATTTGCGCAGAACCTCGCATTGACTGCTCGCTCACAGACAATCCAGTTGGGTGTGTAGCATAATCTGGACGTTTGATATGTTCGGGTACTTCTCGACGAGATTCCCTCTTGTGAGGGCGTAATTTGCCAGTGTAATGATAGAAAGGCCATGGATTGTACTCATTAGATGATTTATCGCCACCTGTTCCCTCTAATAAAAGTGATATTTATATATATAAATTTGATTAAATTTTTTATTACAGTGATACATTTCTTTCTTCCATTAATGCAAATACTTTTTTTACATAATCATTAATTGCTAAACTCACTTGCTAACTGATGAATGACTTTGTGTGTTTTCCAACTTCGCTTGAAACAATCCTGAAATGAAATGTAAATTATCAGGTATAAACCTGCGCGTGAAATAAATATTTTCTCTTTCTTTCAATGTCAACTATTATAATGTAATATTTATACGTTGGCCATACGAGTACACAGACACATGTAAAATTTACATTAACAATACATACACGGTAAGAATGGTTATACCGTGGCTATTCCAAAAATTAAACATGTACAATCGGAACTTAATGTTTAAATTATCATTAACCAATGCCACAGGATGTGAACATAATATTTAATATATGTATTTATCCCTCGAACTAACCTTCAAATACACAGGGAGGAACTTACCTGAGTGCAGAAATAAGAGCCCTGTATCCCAAGTTTTAAACAAGTTGGACACTGAAGACTGGCTATAGTTTTACATCCCGGGGTCTCACACATACCAAAAGCGAGTGCCATTTTCGCTGAAATTTTTTTCGGAATTTCCGTGTGACGTGACTCAATGAACGAGGCACAAACGGGAAGAAGTAATTCGAGACGTCCCTGTACTGTTTTACCGACAGATTTGCCCGTTAATTCGTCACGGATGACGCAACCATTGACTAGGTCACCGACGAAGTATATGAATAGACTTCATATACCTCGTCTGTGGTATTATCATATTTTTTAGCGTTACTTCTATGACAAGTGCATAGGTGGCAGCACCTTCGCGGGCAAAGAGAACGACAGTGTGCGACAAGAACAGTAATAGCGATTAGTTCTACTTTTTCACTACTACGTGGCGCTGGCATTTCAGAATTTTTATTTGCAAAAAAAGGCTAATTAAATAAATTAATTCGTGAACTTTCATAATTGTATTTTCCAAATTAGACGCTCAGCTTTCTTCTCATATCCCAAGAAATCCATGAATAAGAATTTACAAATTCTACTTGATAGATCGAAGTACTCGCCCACATAATGTTTAATTTCTCAAATACTATTACTTGAAATTTGCCAAAAAAAATTATTCGTGGATAGTTAAAAATTGTACATTAGTTTAGATACGATTCTTTATTTCATCAAGTAGTATTAGTCATTACCGATTGTTGCACATCCCACTGTATCAATGCGATGAACATAGGAAATGAACTTCCGTTATGCTGAATTCATTTACAAACTATTTTACATATAACATTTTTCTTCATATGTTATATATTATTTCTTATTTGCGATCAGTACAAAAAGCTAATTTTATTTCTGCACAATTAAACAGTTAGTAATCGCATTAGAATGTGAAAGATGTGCTACTCTCTTTAAATTTCTACAAATATGTACAAATATGCTTTTTTGTAATATGTTCATAATTGCATGCATGTAATTTGAAGAACAAACATTATAACTTTTTGTACAAGTCATAGTCTATCGTTAGTGCAATAATTACATATATGGTATTACTATAGTATTACTATAGTACAATGTTGCGACTACTTTAGTTACACAATGCAAGATTTTTCATAGTCACTGATTTTGTCGGTTTCGACGATTGAGTTGAATATAATTTCTATATCCATCGTAATAAATCACAGAAAATATAAAAACGACTGTTTTTTTTTTCAAATCATTATTTTAGAACTTGAAACATAAATTCAACATCAGATCCGTTCTGTGTTGTAAGTCAATGACGAAATCATTAACTAAGAATTAGAATAGATGCGTGTATCTCTTGATTTAATATTCATATTTTTTGACAGATCAGTAAATGAAAAAACTCCAGAACGATCAAATTTACGAATCACCTACTACATAATAAGCGGACTCATAAAATTTTATAATTATGATATTCCTAAAATTTTTCAGGTCAACCTATTGGTTATAGACTGTTCATCTCGATTGGTCATTTAATATAAAAATAGAAAATTAAAATAATTAAAATAATCCTCGAATTTAGAACAAACTGATGTCAGTTTAATGAAAATTAAACCAAAATTTATTATTCAAAATTTATCTTCCTAATAACACGTAATTGTGGCTACTTTATATAGAAATAATGATCTAACGAACTAATATTCAATTTCTAACATACAAGTTTAGTATAAAAGCGTTAATGTTATTAATATACAAAGTATTCGAATTATTTCACAAATATAGATTAAGTACAACGTTTTTCAACAGATTTTCATTATACAGTTCACTAAAAAATAAATTTAACTTCATATTGCACAGTTGCCTCCTATTACGTGAAATAAGTACTGCCAATTATCTAAGTATACGTCTATGTATGTATAGCCTTTCTTTGTATTGACCCATCCTCCAACAATCCACTAAGTCTCTAGACTTCTCATTTTGTGCGTTCGTTTCAGATTGCTCTCAACTTTCGTAGTACGTTTCTTATAAATATATAAGGAAGCCATTGAACAAAAAAATAGAGAAGTGTCGGATTTTTCTTCGAAATAGCAACGCTGAAAAGAACAATATACAACCAACAGCAACACGCGTGACTCTTTAGCCTGCAGTAACAATTTCTTGAGAATCGTGCAGCGTATCTCCAGGTGATAGAGGTTTCTCAAACAAGCCTCAATGTATTCATCTGGGCATCACTGCTAAAAGCATTGTCTCAACATCGTGGCATGTTTTCACGGTGCACAAAAGATCCGAAGGTTGAGAACCTCTCATTTTTGTATATTAAACTTCTTTTTTTTTCATTTCCTTTAAAAAGAAATTAGTATTTTTCAAATAAAATGTTTTCATCTTGTATGCACACTCCAATTTTTCGTTATGTACACGTTATTGAGTGTACTGACGCGTCTCAACATGTACTTTGTCACAATGTTTTCGAATACTTGTTATTTTACAATGAATTTTCATTCTTCATTATTGGCAACATATTAAGTACGATATTGTTGTCTATATATCAAATAAAATTTTGAAATAAATACTATGTATGCTTAAGTTCAAATTTTATAAAAACCCAATGTTTGTTATAAAATGTAATTTTTTTTCGATTAAACGACAATATAAAATAAAATAATGAACAAAATGAAAACAAATATTTCAAAAAGAAAGAAAAAAAAAAGAAAATTGTATTGAGATCATTGTATAATTTTCATATGAATTCTTTACAGGAAGTATATTGCAGATAAATTGCTTTTTACTTTCATCGAATAATGACAGAATATTTTGATTTGCCGCTTAATATGGACAGAATATGCAGAATTTGTCTTACAGAGGGTACTAATTTGTCTCCTATTTTTTGTACGGATCAAGAAGTAAATGACTTTTCTGGCCTTTCACAAAAGATACAAGTTTGCGGATCGATTGAAATTCATGAACAAGATGGATTACCATCATTGATTTGTGACATTTGTATTTATAAAGCAAGTGTTGCTCATGAATTTAGACAACAATGTCAACATTCTGATGCAAAATTAAGAATGTATTATAATAAACCATCTAAAGTTACTATTGTGGTAAATATAACATAATGTATTAATTTGTTATATATGATACAGTAACTTTATTTCTTAAATATTTTAGGACACATATACACAAACTGAATCAGAGATAAGAACATTATTATCAAAAAAACAAATTGATCAAAATTATTTTGTCAAAGAAGAAATGCATGTACCATCAAATTCTCAAGAATACAATATACAAACTAGTGATTCATATTGTAGAGATGAATCTAATTTAAGTACCAGTCATATTGATATGCAAAATGAAAAACTTTTTATTTGTTCTATTGGATTTGAAGGATCTAAAGAAATTGAAAAGGAATCTTGTGTCTCTGAGAATAATATACATGAAACATCCCTGATACAAGAGAGTAACAATGATATTCCTGAAACTATTGATATGGAAAACAAGCCAGAAGAAAATCAAGATATCAACCAAAATCCAGAAGAAGATGATAAAAGACAAGAGGAGGAATTATTTGATGAAAATATGTTAGATGATAATGTCAAAGAGGAAGAAGAAATTTTACAGAAACGTACTTCTACTAGGAAAGTCAAATCAGTGCCTAATAAAACTTATAGTGAAGATGAAGCTCATAGTAATTATTATGATTCAAGCAATGATGATCAAGATTCTAGAGAATTAAAATTCAAATGTAAAGTATGCGGAAAATGTTACAACACACAAAGAGGTTTAAAAAAACATTCTCTTGTTCATGAAAAAAAACACAAATGCAATGTTTGTTCAAAAATGTTTTACAGATTGGAAAACATGGAAAATCACAAAAAAATACATGAATCAAAACCTCTTGCGTGTCAATTGTGTCATGCATGCTTTTCTAAACCCCAAAATCTTGTACGTCATTTAAAATCTCACACAGAAAAAGTAAATAATATGATTAAACAAATCAGTACGGATGAACAAAAGGATAATAAGGAACCGAAAAAAGAAATGAAATTTGAAAATGATACTGATGATGAAAGTGGTACTGTGAATGAAGTTTATGATTTTGAAAATGCACCTGAGTTGTACAAATGTGAAATTTGTAGTCAGTATTGTTCTTCTTTAAAAAATCTGAAAAGACATACTCTTGTACATGGAGATAAAAAATATTCCTGTACTGTATGTAAAAAATGGTTTTTTAGGCCTGATACATTGAAAAAACATGCAGAAAAACATGGTCATGGCTTGTTAGACAATTTAGTAGATGATAATAAATTTTTTGATTCTGATGATGACCCTTTCCCGAGTACTACACAAAACACTTTACAAGAGAACGAAAATGTTAAAAAAGAAGAAAGTGATGAAGATGAATCTGGTGAATATAAATGTCAACATTGTGATAAAATCATGGCAACAAAAAAAGGTCTTAGACGTCATGTATCGATGCATAAACCAAAAGCTGAACCAGTTACTTGTGAAATCTGTGGGAAGGTATGTGCTAGTCAAGCTCGCCTTGTTCTTCACCAGAGGACACATAAACCAAAAGAAAAAGTTCCACGAGAATACTTATGTCACATTTGTAGTAAAGTGTATCCAAGTAATTCTTCTCTAACTTATCACATGAGAACTCATACTGGTATTAAACCACATGTGTGTAAAACTTGCAATAGTGGATTTACTACTACAACCAGTTTAGCAAATCATATTAGGATTCATACAGGTGATAAACCATTTGTTTGTCATGTATGCAGTGCAGCATTTGCTGTGAGTTCAGCTTTTAGACGACATTTAACTCGACATACTGGAGAGGCAAATTATTTGTGTAAAACATGTGGTAAAGCATTTAAAAGACTAAGTACATTAAAAGAACATACTTATACTCATTCTGGAGAAAAACCATATGTATGTAAAACGTGTGGAGCTGCTTACAGTCACAGTGGTAGCTTGTTTGCACATCAGAAACGTTGTCGAGCTCAGTATGGAGAAATGGTTGTAGATGACCATCATCACACAGTTGCTCATCATATTCATGTAAATAATGTGCAATCTGCAGTACGATCACTTGCTGTGATAGGACAAATGTTTTAATAAATAAGACTTATTACTTGAAAAAATGATGATTTTGCTTTATAATAAATATGTATGTATATCTACAAGTATACAGCATACATATATATTTGTATATGTACAGACTACTAAATACCTATAGAATACATTATGATTCATAAAGTAAATAATGTAATATTAGTGTAGAAATCACATTCTTGTGTAAATATATAAGCAGCTTTTTTACAAAAAAAATTACTTAAATACTCATATATTTAAATTCTGTGAACTAATGCTTTATTGCACAAAAATTTATTTCATTTAAATAGCAGTCATTGTGGATATTTTTTATATAGTCGTGTACATTTTTTTAATATAGTTTAGTGTTCATAAATAATACTATAAAAATAGTATAATTATACGAATTAAACATATTTATTTATTTATAAAGTGTTCCAAAATCATATTAAACATAGAAATAAACAAATTTTTTGTCAAAGCAAATTAATAAGTTTCATATCATTTTGCAATTTAAAATTTTATTTTTAACATGAAAACATGAATAAAAAATTGTTATATTTTTAATGAATTAAATAATTGTTATATTTTTAACATAAGTTGCCCAAGTTTTAATAATTAAATATATATTTAAACAAAATTATATGTAATACATTTTACGTAATATACAACATTTTATTAAATATACGGATTTAAGAATTATTTTGAACGGTTCTAAATTAATGTATTATTATCTAAATACTAAATGTATTTAGTTTATATTTTTTTTATCATTTCAACTCAGAATCTTTGAAAATAAAAAACTTGGATAGCAAATAATTTTGTAATGTGATTTTGGAACGCTCTATGTACAAATTTAAATATAATTATAAATATTTTTATATGTAATTGCAAAAAAACAAGACATTATATGACTTTTTTTCTTTAAAAAATTGAATTAAGGAATAATTGCACTGATATTGGCAGTATTATAATTTTGTATGAAAAAAATTAAATCTATTCCTTTTTGTGTATTCACAATTGTGTGTGTATTATACTTATATTATTTTAAACATTTTATTGTTTGTATTATGTATTTAAAAAGAAAATATTAAATAAATCAATAGATTTTATTTAATGAAAATATCAAACATGTATAAACTGTATAAATCAATAGTCAGTATTTACAAATGAAAATTAAAATTAAAAACTTGAGATTTCTAATATAAATTAGTCACATTATACAATCTGTATTATGTTTAATTAGAAAAGTTAATGTTATATTTACTGTTCATATTAATTTTATGATAATAATACAAAATTTTACTAAATACAACTATTATTTTTATTGAATACAATTAATTTTTTATACATTACATATACATTATAAACCTTTATATATGTATTGTATTGTATTTAAACCATATAGTTTATGTAAAATTAATTGTAAGTTATACAATAATTATCGAGGTTTTTTTAAATTTATTTTATGTATTTATAAAACTCACGATTATCACATTTCAAAAATACAAATAATAATATATTGTGCCATCAAGACATAAATAATTCAAATTTCAAATTACTCATTTCTTTTAATAAGTCTATTATGTTGTATTGTAAGTAAAAATATTAGTTACAACTAATAATTTCACTTCTTTGTTTATATACAAAATATTTTTTTTTGATAGTATACAAAATTAACTTAAATATTCATATTGGTTAAACCAGTAAACTTTAAAGTATTCATCAAATTCCATCAAATTTAAATGAATTTTGTTTCGATTATTGTATATATAACATAGTGTGTATCAATAAAGTATAATGTTTAAATGAATTTAAATATGCAAATATGGAAAATAAATAAAATTTTTAAAGCAATATATTAATCCTTAAGGCGAATATCATGTCCACACCGATTTGTAGTAGAATTTCGGTCTTTAAATATTGCTAAACAGTAGAATGAAAAAATATAACGGATATCATTCGAACATTGATGATATTAAAATAAGTAGCTTGAAACTGTTTTTAAACAAATCTGACATAGGCAACATACAATCATCATGAAAAGCTAATACAATTTTTTACTTTCCCGACGTTTTTTCTTGAGTAATTTATAACGCCGCCAAATAGAAATTCGAGTTCGTTTTAAAACCTTCGCTAAGTCTGTATATTTCCGCTTTTGATCAAGATTCGCATTATGCTCTAGGTGATCCAAGATCATTTTATCTTCGTCTGGATGAAACCTTCATGTATTAAACATTAATTAATTAATTAAACATATAATTAAATATTTACAAATGAAAATACTGAACAGATAAAATAAATTTTTGAACATTATTATTCTTAATATTTAGTAGAGTATAAATATTGCATGAGTGAAGCAGAATTTAGAAAATATTACCTTCTTTGGAAACGAACTGCATACAAATTTCTAAACCTATGATATACACTGTACAAAGTCCTGTTTGGCAAACCATCTGCTAAAAACTGAACAAATCTTTTTCTTTGCTTCTTGCCGCGAATATATGTTTCATTTCCCTCTCTCAAAAGTAAAAATGGTTCAACTTTTATAGGATTCCAGTTATGCAACTGTATTGGAATAATACGACAATTTCAATGTGATTATGATAGAAAATTTTTCAGTAATAAGGTATTTAACTATATAAAAAATATTTTAAATAAACAGACCATACAAAATTCCTTCCAATTATGGGTAATTATTTCATCCTCTGATGAGTTATAACATCCTTTCTTAACAGGTGTTATTTCTTCAAATTTTTTCATTTCCTCGCATGTTGGAGGACGAGATCCAGCACGAGTTTCAATTTCATGTTGTGGTAATGGAGAATTTTTTAATTTTACATGTAAAGTTCTCAAAAGCTATAATAGAAAAAAATTTTATGTAATTCTTATTTGATATATATAATTATTACTAAATATGTTACCTGTTTATCCTCGTGAGAAAGTTTATTTGTTTCTCTAATTTGTTGTGCGAGTATACTAACATCATCATAATCATTCATTTCTGCAATTTCTATTTTGATCACAAGAAAAGATTAAATTTCTTAATTGTAATAATAAGAATAATTAGAAGAATACGTGAATAATACGTGACATACGTTATCACATACGTAACGTATTATATACGTTACAATAACTTTTTATTAATATTGAGAAAATACATAAAGAATATGTACTGATTTCCATTTAATCTGATTTTTTTTATCACTTTTCTATCACTCTTTAGTTTCTTAAAAACATACTATACATGTATTTATATACATAACTGATTTTAAGCATTCACCATGTGGATCACCCCTAGGATAGGTGCTGGAACTAATATATATTGTTGTCCTTATCGCACACTATCGCTCTCCTTGTCTACCGTGCGGGTATGTCTGTCCTTGTCGCACACTGTCGCTCTCCTTGTCTACCGCACAGATATGTCTGTCCTTGTCCCACGCTATCGCCCTCCTTGTCTGATGACGCTAGACAAGGAAACTAATAGTGTGCGACAAGGGCAGACATACACGCGCGGTAGATACGGAGAGCAACAGCATGTGACAAAGCAGACATATTTACGCGTTAGACAAAGACTGTAATAACGTGTGACAAGAACAGATATATTCGCGCCGTAGACAAGGAAAGTGTTAGTGTGCGACAAGGACAACAATATAAATTAGTTCTACCGTTTCACCGCTAGTATTTTAATGCCTTTAGCGGCTAACACATCCAGTCTTTCCTGAGTATGCCAGTTCCAAATAAACGAATATTATAAATCGTAAGTGGATGCCGATTAGCTACGGATCGAGTGCGATTTTTAGGTTAAGCGTGCAACGTGCGGAACACCTCTAGAATTGGTGCCGTTTCTTGGCCCAAGCTAGAGGTTCCTAATAAACCGAGCGTCTGAGGTTAGGGGTCGCCGGCATCAGTCCTATTGATGAATCTAGCGCTGATTCTGAGACGAAATATACTCCATCTTCTATATCCTTTATAACTTTACATCATACATAAAATCATCCGCTACAGAAATTTCACCTTTAGTACCATCTACTGACGAATTGCAGATTGTATATTTTCAGTTATATATAGCTGTATTTATGTACAAAAATGAAAAGTCCCATGCAAGAGCAAAGGAAGCAGTTCCTTCTCTCAGTAACCGACCCACTAGATTTTGTTTGTTCTGCGTGACACTCAATCAATAGATATTCTTAAATTTTAGAATGTATTGGAAATAACCAACCAGACCCACATTCTTTTCGGGGAATTTCTCATCTCTGCACAAGTGTTGATGCAAATATAAATCATTGTTTCGAATTTTGAGATTATTGAGTTATTACAGTTGAATTTGGTAAGAATATATTTAATTTTATACAAAATAAAAATAATAATATATCAAATTTTACAATTTGTTTTGATTCGGGGACTACGAGAGAAATGATTGTAATTATAGAAAATGAGAAACTAATTTTTTTTATAGAAAAAATCATTTGTGGTGATTCACTTGATTGCTATTTTATGTCCAAACGAGTTCAAATATGTTTCATTGCGTTTGTGGTATTAAGCGGATCACGTGTTTGTTTTCACATTTTGTAAAGTTTATGTTAAAATGAAAAAACATCTGGAAAATACCTAGGTATATGATAAGTAGACATGTAAGTACGTATCAGCTGATTGGATCATCATCTTGTTTACTATTCGTTAAAAAGTGACAAGCATATAGTCTGTAATTTTTAATTAACCAAAAGTTGTAATACTTAAAATTATATGTCCAAATTTAACATTATGAAGGTACTTGACATATTTTTTATACTTTATATAGAACTTGTATTGTTTGAAGCAATTTTATAATACTCTAAATTATTAAATATAATCGATTTCTCACAATTAATATTTCTCTTAAATAATATACATGTACATATCTCAAAATGTAATGAAAATAAATTTATAATAAAAAACATTTAAATTATTAAAACATATAAAATAAAAATTTTTAACATATTTATTGCCAATATTATTATTTTCTGTAATATGATGAACTTAATTTTAAGGCTAATTTTTTTTTTTGTTTAAATATAGTTTTAATTTTTAAGCAATATACCTGTTATTTATTATTATTAACTACATTAATAATTACAGATTATTATAGAAGAACTTGAAAATATTTTGTAAAAGTTATAAAAATCTAAACTATGGCTTCAGCTTCAAGTACAAGTGCTCGAAGCTTATTTGTCGAGTCAAAAATGAGATTAGCTGATAGAGTACAAGTTAATGTAAACAATATTGCATCTCTCGCAAGACAAATACAAAGAGGTTCAAAAAGCAGTGAGGTAAAATTTCAATGTACTTACATTTATCTATGTATTATGTTTTACCGTATATTCCATCTAATTGTAGTATATTTTGTAATGTTAACACTGCTAATATTTATAGATATTAATGCATAGTGCAAAAAATTTTGCACAACAGGAGCATAGTCTAGAAAATGCAGAAGCTAATTTAAAGAAAGCTGCTCTGATAACTAGTCATTTAGAATATCAAATGGAATCTATCAGTCAAAGTTTTATAGCTTTGGAAGAAGTTACCGAACAAGTACGTGCTATGCAAAGATAAATTATAATAAATACTCATTTTTATTTATAATAATTTTTTATGTATTTTGTACTTTTATATCATGTTATTACTGATTAAATGTATAATTTTTTTTAAATCATATAAGTTTGTTGAATATATGTGCGAAGTTTTACAAATATTATTTAAGATATTTAATTGCACAGCGAATTGGAAACAATATTCACTATTATATTCCTCATATTGTTGTTACAATCTATATTATGTTCAAAACATGTCTTTCTGGTGATTTAAAATAAACATGTTGTAAAAATGTTTTATATTAATGTATCATCCTTACAATCTAATATTTTGTTACATGTGTTTTAAAATTTAACCTCTTTTTTGCTGCCAAAATGCAAGGTACCAATGCGAATACCAATACCAGAACCAATTTAATATGTACGTTTTTATGAATTTTAGAAGAACATAAGCAAACGAAACCGAAATACTTGTGGTACTTGTCACATAAACATCTAAGGCTGATAAATCAACACTGAGAGTAAAAAAATTAAGAATAAGGATTTATTAATATAATTCATATAATAATATTCAATAATAATATGCTAAAAAAATTATTCGTTGTTAAATTCATTGCTATGATTAAAGTTAATGAGCACTTCTTAAAAAAACACAGTTATTTTACATAAAATTTCATAATTTTATTGAATACTCTATAAGACTTAAATTAATTACTTACAATTGTAACGTTACATTTAACTAAACAAGAATTTTATGAGTTTTGATTACGTACACAAGATATAATTTGCTAAATAATTAATCTTTGTGGTTTTTAAAAAAGTTGTATGCCAGTTTAATACATGATTTATCAAGGATACAGAATATCATAATGACCAGGACGATACAGTAAATGAACAGCTGGGGTAGCACCTTCAGGAAAATCATGTGCAGTTACTTCAGTCCCAGCGCCTCTATCCATATAACGGACACGTATTCCAGTTCCTAAAGCAGTACTCATAGCTATAATGTGAATGTGATCAGATTCTTTGTACATTGGTTCCACCTCCTATAAAAATAAATAATTTTAATCATTTAATTAATATTGATTATAAAAATATATTTCATATAACAAAAATATATATACTATACAGGGTGATTCCGAAATCGTGGTACATTTATATAGAAAGTGATTTCTTATGTAAAATTAAAATTTGAAACTTCGTTAAATATACCTACATTTTTCAATAGAATCTGCTTCATTCTTCTTTCATTTTTACTTTAAAAATTGCCTCTCTTTGTACCATGATTTTTTAAATCATCCTATATACTTTTTCATCCTAACAAATAACTCATTTTTTAGAGTTTTTGCAGATATCACAAAATTTGTAACACAAATAAATCAACAATGAAATATTAATTGTAAATAATGACATGACATAGTATCAATACTTACTTGACGGCAGAATTCTGAAACAGTACGTTCTCCTTCAATAAAATGCTGATAAAAATCAGCTTCACGCCGTAATTGACCAGAAGTAATTAATCTAAGATATACAACAACATAATCAGAGCATCCTTGTTCATTGAAAAGTTTATGTAATTCAATATAGCTTGACTCCGTATCTTCTCCTACTTTATCAATTACATCCATAAACTGTAATACAAAAAAGGAAATATTTTTTTATATATTCAGAACAATTAAAAAAAAATATAAAAATTTATAGGTATACGATTTATAATGAAATATATTTACTGTATCATGAAAATCTTCAACTGTAAACTGAGGGAAACCTAATGCTACCAAACTATCTTTACTCTTTAATGCAAGTTCTCGAAATTTTTCATACTCTTCTTTATTTCCAATTAACTTTTCAAGATATGCATAACTAAAAGCTCTAAAAAAGCAATTTCCATCTGGTCTAGTTCTCCTAATATACGAGTATTTTTGACCTAATGCTTTAGCTTTTGAAAGGTATATTTCATCTTCAGAATATTCACGTTCCAAACTTTTTATGGATTCTTTCTCTCCAACCAAAGCAATAGATTCAGAAATCTGGAAGATAATAATTTTTATTTCATATTTTAGATATAAATATAAAATAAAGAAATGCAGACTACAAATATTAAATTATACTGTTTATATACAAGCTATCCACAATATTTAACACTTGATTTACAATTCATAGTAGGACAATCTAGTAAAACAAAATGTTTATTAAAACCAAAGGCAAAAAGTACGCGTGTACAATTAATGACAATTCTCAAAAACGGTAAACAGAATATGTAACTCTTTCATAAACAAAAAAAAATTAGTAATAGTTGTTAGAAAATTAAGAAAAAAAGATCAACTTATATAGTAACAATAACGTATATTAACCTCCATTTCGATTCGTCTTTGTTGTTGAAGAATCAACTCATCTTGGTTGATATCTGTAATAAAATAAATATGATAAGTTATATATTCGTTCTTTCGGATTGTAATGTATATTTAAGAACCTGTATTTTCTGTTAATTGCTCTTTGCAAGATTTCTCTTCCATATTTCAAGAAGTTTTCATCAATTTTGAAACGACTGTCAAATTATCAGTCGTAAATAAAAGCCCGATGTCCATGTGGAAATTGAAAAGGCATTTACCGTTGTATTAAAATGTTTTAGATTGGTAACTATGTCCTCCGAAATAGAACAGATGTTGACGAAAATTTAACAGAATATATTTTTCGATCATTTCTTTCATATTCGCGTGTGTTATACATTGAAATTCAGTAAAATAAAATCACACGGAAGAAAATATTATTCTTTTCTGTTTAATGTTGAACAATGAAAATGTAGAATTCCACCACTAGGAAGTCACATCTGTTATCACTAGACTACCAATGCAACCCGCCAAACGTTAAATAACGCGTAATACAAAATTATACAAGCATTTGAATTCATTTATTTTTAATAATAAAATAAAAGATTTTAATAACATATTACATTAAATACAATAACAATTAATAATAAAAAGTAAAGTTCTAACTATTATATTAGAAATTTTCGATTTTATCATATTATTTAACTGTAGTTAATTACATCTAATTTCTATAAAAATATTTGTATGAATTAATATATAAAATATTATTTCGTAAATCATAAGAATTTAAAAACAGCCGAAGTATCATATTTGCACTTTGCAAATATGTATATTCATTATTTTAAATTTTTTAACATTGAAACTTAATAAATACAGTTAAAAAAAAAAGAAAAATTAACTGTGTTTCTGATAAAATATGATAAATACGAAATAATCGGAATATAGCGAAATTTTATTAATAATGTTTATAATTATTATAATGTACCTTAAATCGTTGTGCAAATCAGTATACATATATACGTGTAAACATGGCAAGTTTTGAAGAAGGAGGTGTAAGTGACAAAGAAAATCCTCAGGATTTTCAAGAAGAAGTTGAAAATAATGCTCGTATTGACGAAGAACAAAAGGAGAAATTAGTAAAATTGCCGTTAGGTAGGATAAAAACAATTATAAAGTTGGATCCTGAAGTGACTATGGTTAACCAAGAAGCTGTTTTCTTAGTTACGAAATCTACGGTAATTGTAAAGTTATATTTCACTTATTTACGAATCAGATAGTATTGCATAATAATATTTCTACACTAAAATAATTTCAAAATGTTTGGAACATTGTAATCAGTCAACATGTGTTTATCAATTGTACTATAGTTATTCTTGAGTTTACGTCTCATATTCTTTATTTTTCTAAATAATTAAATGATGATTAGGTAAACGTAATATGTGGAAATTATAATTTGTACTCTATTGTGTATATTAAATTATTACTTTATTTTAATTAAATTAAAACACTTCAATGTATGATAAAATGATTTTTATAACATTTTATATCTTTATCATTAAATTTTAACATTTTATTACAGGAACTTTTTATCGATTCTCTTGTTAAAGAATCATATAAATATACAGCACAAGTGAAAAAAAAGACAATACAAAAGAGAGATGTAGAAAGTGCAATTAATAATGTTGATGCTCTTGTATTTTTAGAAGGAATGTTAGATTAAGATTTAATAAATATATATAAGTATATAATGACATTATTTTTGTACGTTGTTAATAAAATTTCATTACTATATTAAATAAAATTATATTCATATATAAAATTTCAATTTTCATATTTCTATACTTAATACAAATATGTGTAAAACCAATGAATAAAGAATAAATATACAATGATATGTTTTATATGTTTTATAGTTTAAGTAAAATAAAAATAACAGTATTTTTTAAATATATGAATTAAGTTCAGTACATAGTTGAAAGAAACTAAAATATTTAAAAAGAGGATACAAAACTGAAAGTAAATGATATACTTATTTACTTTTCACAACAAAAAGAATATGAAGAATAAGTAGATAAGAGAAAGGTAGTGATCAATAATATATTGTTATATTTATTCTAAAATTTATAAGCTCCATATTTAACATGTATTTTTATTGTAAAACTCACTTAATACAGTCATATAATTTCATCTGCATGTACAAAGAACTGCGTAATTTTATTATTATACAAATAAAATATATAAATAAAACTCTTACTAACATACACATCAATATATTTTTTTAGTGTATTTTAACATTATTTTTTAAGATATTTCTGGTTATTTATAATACATTTTGTATTACAAATAATGTAAGAGTGAAATATGTACATCATAATTATTTTAAATTTTCAATTTAATTGTAGTATTTGTGTACAGCTAATAAATGCTTCAACATTCCTTTGAAATGTTAAAGAATATTATACATGTGAAGAGTATTTTTAAAAATTTCTATCTAATACATAACTTATGAGTAACATAGAGAAAAAAAATCAGTCTTATTTTACATATGCCAATTATTTAATTTTTATTGTTTTTATTTATTAATTATAATGACTTAAAATAAATAATATGAAATATTATAATTTGAAAATACATATTTAGCATCAGAAAACAAGAACCTATGATGTTATCAACAAAATAAAAAAAAAAATATATTTCATATAATAAAGAAAATGAACGAAGGAATTAAAAAAAATTTTTCAAAATTATTTTTTAATTATTTGATATTATTTTTTAAATAGAATTGCACTTGTGTTTATAAATTATTACAGAATATAAAAAAAGTAAAAAATGATATTTTAGAATGTCCATTCTGATTTCATTAAAATATTTTAATTAGTACGGTTAAGTTTTTAAATTAAAATTTTTAATTTTTATTTAAAAAATTATATTGATAGTCAAACATTTTATGTATTTTATTATTACGAAAAATATTTACTTATATAATAATTAAAACTTGATAGAATTATATAAATAAAAAAAGTAGAAATTATATTAATAAATGAATATTTATATTTCATTTTATGAATTTTTTTCTTTAAAACTTATAAACAAAAAAAAAATTTTTTTTCTTTAAAACTTATAAACATAAAAAAAATTTGAAAAATATAAATTTTTGTTTTGTTAGAAGTAATTTTTAAATATTTAAAAAAAAATACAATTTACAGAATATTTTATCCAATATTTGATAATGTATATAAAAGATTAATAAATAATAACTAACAAAATTTATTAATTTATGTCAACATTCATTATTTTGAACATATGTGTTGCTAATTAAATATGTAACTATGTTTTATTATTACTCAATAATACATATAACAAAATAAGCATATTGCTTATATAAATTTATGAATTGAACCATTCCTTAGTTATTTCCAGTTATTTCATCATATTATTCGAAATACTTTGAAATTAAATAATCAGAATGATCCATTAATTTGTAAATTTTTTTTGTGGATTATCTTCTGTTAGAATTTTAAAAACGACAAAAACATTTAAGTAATTTAGTTTCATAATATTTCATAATATTCATACAAATGCTTAATCAATTCATAGGATGATCCTAAATATGAAATGTTTACTCTGTAAAGGTCTATTATAAAAGTTCTTACATTTTCTTTACGAAAATTTTTAGCTTTAGACAATACTAATGTAACTCAATTATTTGACTGAATTTTCTTTACATTATCTAAGGAAATTTAAAAGTATTTTTGCAACTAAAATTATATAAATTTTGATATGAACATTATAAAACATTTTAGTACTGCAAACACGTGCGAGCTATTGTTTTAATTGTAACTAAAAAAACAATAAAATTTAGGACGTATAAAAATTTGTTGAATTTATAATAAAAAATTATTTCATGTTATAATACATGAGGATTACATTTTATAGATATTAGCTTATAGACATTATTTGAAGAGATTTAATTCCTTCCATTGCTTTCAGTTTTGTTAAATTCAGAAAAAATTGCTAAACTTACTGTAACTATACTTTACACTATATATTAAAATGCTATGTAATATTAATATTTGAGTATTGTATTTGGATTAAATTGAAGGATCATTTATATTCTGATAACTATTATTTTGTATATACTCTTGTTCGTCATAATTTAATCTACAATTAGTATTAATAAATTTTATATTTATAAATGTAACGAAAAATGATTTTAAGGATTTTCATTTTATATAGATTAATAATTAATCCTCATTTTTCAAATTTTAATTATTGATATTAATAAAATATTTAAATACGAATATTTTAATACGATACATACTATATTTAGTACGATTGTAATGTATTTCGAAATATATTAGGGTCGCGTATTTCTTGAATCTAGAATAGTACAAGTAAATTTTATAAATAAATCAACAATTAAAATTTTTTAACAAAGTTTTCTATGATTAAATAAATGTTTATCACCATGTTATTAAATAAACTTTCGTTACAATAAAAATAAAAAAAAAATATTTTTGATGACCAAAATTACATAAATATACTTTTTAAAATTCTTCCTAATATTATTTCAATATTGTGCTAGAATTAATGAATATTATTTATATTGAAGGAAAGAATGTATAAGAATTCATTAGGGTACTATGTATATTACTGTATAATTATACATAATGGATGCTAAAAATTAGGAAGTAACTTGCCATACTTTTTACTTCTTGCGTTTAGTTTTACGGCGCTTACAATCACCTCCAAAAGAACTTTGATCTGGTGGGTTTGAATTTCCGGTCTTATTGTGATTGTATAAATTATTTAAAAAGTCTTCAAAATCTGCTTCACTATTCAATTATTTACAGAGTTATATAGTATCGAAAACAAAATATTCATGAATTTAACAAAATATCAGTACCTGGTATTTGGATCTATTTGTTGACGTCTTTTGCCATTATTGGCCGTTTGTGACGGTGGTCGTTGACCTAAGACAATTCTATATTGAACACTATGTGTATTTGCTCTTAGGTGTTTTAAATTACCAGCTTGACAAGCTGCCCAATCTGTAACATCATATACTGCTCCTTCCATACAAGCATAATAATGCCAAAGAAAACCCATTAAACGAGACTCTGCCCAAATGTCTCCCTAATCAAATTGAAATAAAAAAGAAAAATTAATCTAAGAACACAATACAACATATTTACTTCCATATAGCATTTTGACAATTACTTCTTTTGCACTATGACGTATTTTACATTGAGCACAAAATCGTGCCGCATAACAAGGACGCTGTGTTGGAATTCTTTTATGCCTTAAACCACAATTTGTACATCTTATTGTATTTGCTGCTTGTTCCATTTTTCTATGAAGTTGAGAGAGTAAATCACTCAATACACCCCAAGCTGCTTCGACTTGTCTAGTTTGATCAAATGCTTGTCTACGTTCCTAAAATATTAAGAATAGAGTACTGTTATAACAAGAAATATAAATTACACAGGAAAAATATAATTTTTTAGGGATAAATTTTTTTTAAATTAATAAATATAAAAAAAGCAATACCGGTTCACCAATTATATCAAATGCGTGAACAAGTATTTTGAATGCTTCTTCTGCGCCAGGTTGATTATTTTTATCTGGATGAACTAAGAAAGCTTGTCTCTTATAGTACTTTTTTATATCATCATCTGAACATGTTGGTGTAACTCCAAGTATACTGTAAGGATCTTTTCCTTTGCAAGCTAATAATCTTTTCATAGCTTCTTCACCAGTACTAGGTAATGCAATATTGGCTTCAAGACCACCATGTATCCAATTACTATTTTCTTCTTTTTCTTCATTTTTAGTTTTTATTTTACGCCAAAATGCAAATTTACTATTACCAAACCAATTATCCAATTGTTTGCCAATAGTATTTAAAATACGAACTTTTGAAAATGTCATAGCCATATAAACCCATGAGTATTTTAAATATAGCATAGTATGATACCATCCACATTTTCCACTAAAATGTAAATATAAATTTAATTATTTACATTATACAAGACATACTAAAATAGTATAACACAAAATTAAATCAAAATATTTTTAACATTAAGAATTACTTACAGAAGAATCATAAGATTAGCACTCATGCCAACTACATCAGATACTAAGTGTAGCAACCAATGAAATATCTTTAAACCAATTTTAATCCAGTGACTGGCATATTTATTTAAATTTTTATATAAATCTTTGACTGGTGATTCCCTATTTTCTCTTTTTCGATTTCTTTGAGCTTTTTTAATCTGTTGTGTTTTTTCAGTCTGAAACCGTTTAGAATTCTTTTCTTTTGTTACTTTCTTTTCTTCTTTATTCATTTTGTTGACAACCTGTTGATTTTTCTCTAGTTTTTCAGGAGAGATGGTTTGACTGAAAGTGTTTATTATATTTAAATTATTATTTATTTGTATGGGACGTTTAGGAATATTCCCAGAAGATTTGGGATTGTTATTTTGAACTTTTGAATTATTAAGCGTTTCTCCTTTTTCTGCTTTCTTAGGTATTTTAGAAACTTTTTTCTTTTCAAATTGATTTGTTCTGTCAAAACTATTTATTTCGTGAGTTTCAGTTGGTGAACCAAGATTGTCTAATGATACCCAACGCCTTGGGAGATTTGAATTATTTTTTTCTAGTACTTTCCGTGGTATTTGCATTTTTGGAGAATTATGATCATCACTTCCAGATGAATTTTGTCTCTTTAATGTCGAAGATTTAGATTTATTCTTTGAATTTTTATTAGAAACCTTCTTGTTTACAGATTCTGTTTTGGGTTTTATAGATTGAACTATTAAAGGAGATGGGGGTGTTGGAGCAGACTTTGTTAGAACATCAGAATAAGAAGGTCGCATAGGTTTCACTTCTGCTACCACACGAGGTTTCTTGTGCTGAGAATCAGTTGAATTTCTAGGCAGTTCTTCAGAATCTCTAATATCTATATTTGGCTGCAGTACTGGAGTTACATTTGGAGAACCACCAAAGGGACTATATGTGCCAGATTGGTTTGGCACCCAATTACCAACTAAATTCTCAATTAATTGTTTTCCATTAAAATTTTGGGTTGGCAATTCAGATGGCACATTCATGTGTCTATCGTTAAAGAGACCATATTCTCGATCAATCATATTTTGATTCCTGTAAGATGTCATGTTTGAAAGTTGGCACTGTTCTGCCATAATTTGTGAGGCATTTCCGTAAATTACATTAATGTAATTGCCTCCTCCAACATCGATAGTTCCAATTAAATCATTATTTTCATTTATACCTAAATGATTTACTGCTTGAGATGGGAAATAGATCGAATCTGTTGGAGGATCGTAGTTTGACATATCTTGCATATAAAGCGGAGCATCCATTGGAGGCATAGATTGCATCGTGGGTGGATTAGAATGAGGAGATTGACTAGCAATATAATGTCTTGTTTGATTTGAAGAATAATTTCCCCAATTATGAGATGTAGCTTGTTGTGGATTTACGCCAAATTGGACATAATGACCGTTAGAACTTTCTAAATCTGAAGTCATAGCTTCAATAATTTTGTCTAAGGACATACGTTTAAAGCCAGAAGGTGACTGTTGTTGCTCTGCCATATTGTGATGTTTCTTTAAAAGAAAAAGAAAAAAATATTAATATTTGTGTTTAATTATATGATAAAAGATGAAGTTCTGCACCAAAAATTATTTCATCGAACACAAATCTTTTTTGTACTACCAAAAACAAATTATTCTGTGATAAATATTGAATTCACGTTTTTTGAAAAAGAGAGAAAAACTGAATAACTTAAAACTGTTTATGGATTGTATGTAAAATATAAGAAAAATCTATATAACAAAACATTGATAGAAATAAATCTATTTATATTACAATTGACATAGAAAATAATCTTAAAGATAATTTAATAACCTAAAACAAATGTTTCTTTTTAAAGTTACATCAGGGATAAGGATGCAATGCTTACATTTGTCGGCAAGTGTATCGCTTCCGAATCTCCGTTTACATTATACTTAAAATAAACGGTTTCTAAACATATTGCAAAGAAAACATTATATCCAAGTGATATATACAATTTCAAAGCATATATCATGCGGTTAATACAAAATCAGTCACTGTATTTGTTCGTAGTCTGCACTACCAGCAGATTCATAAACGGATCACATAAATAGTTTTCTTTCTGTATACATACAACCACGTATGTATATAATACTGTTGCGAAAAGTTCCTAGATAAACGGATATGTCCAATTACCGAACCGTTATGGCTTCGATGTATAGAATCTTAAAATAATTCATATTAAAAAATTTTAATTTTTTTACATCATGTTTTTTTATACGCCTTGCAAAATAAAATGAACAGTATCATTTGCATTCTTGTGAGATTAACAACGCGTTGCGTCTTTTTACTAGAAAAACTGTTTCTACCATTGCTACATAGTTTATTTGATAATTCACTGCTAATGTTAGATTTAATTTAAAATATACTGATATTATTAACATTGTCTTTCACGACTTTTATTAAAGAATGATATACTAACATTTATTGTCAAGTTTCCTTGGAAATTTATGATGTTATTTTTTTAATTTTTAATTTATATATATCCATGATCGTAAATATTTGTTATTTTATATTCATTTACTTTGTAACGGATAGATTCAAATGAATTTTCTTGATAAATTAAAAAAAATTAAACTTCATTCATACCTTTGTTTCTCTGTAGATATTTATTTAAAAATATATTACAAATAATATAATAGCATAAGCATTGTACATAATACGTTGCTACAATACATGAAATAAATATGATATATGTATATTCACATATGATAAAAACATTCGACATTGAATACACTTACGATAAAAACATTCGACATTGAATACACTTACGATAATTTGAACAATTAAGTCAAGTCCAAATTATAACTAACAACATTATAATAACTAAAACAATGCTGTATTGTACTTTTATTGATATGTTGCAAGGTCTTTTTCCTCTTCTAGATTCACAAGCACACATTTCTAGTATGTAACCGTCAACCTAGAGAAATATTCACAATATATAAGATTTATAAGAATGTAAATGATTTATAAAAATGTAACTTTTAAGAACAAAAAATAATGATATATAAAATTAAGTAGTGAATACAGAAATTAAAGAATCTGCTGCAAAAATGAGGCAATTCTATTTTCCAATAATTAAAAATTAAATAATTTTTCTAACATATGAATTAAATGTGTTCAATGTCAATTAATGTTTGTACTTTTGAGTACAAAATCATTCATTTTCTTTGTCTTCCACAAATACAATTTAAATATTTAAGTTGTTTTAATTTTAAATAATTGTAAATACCTGTTGTTCATAACATCCAGATGTAATAGGTATTATTTTATCTTCTATTGCTTTCCCGCAAAACAGTGATGTATTAACAACTGCAATTATTTTTAATTTCATAATATCCATTTTATATTTTTTAATATGAATTTGTATAATGTGATATACTTACTGTCATTATTATAACTAAAAGTATACTTTATACAAACATCACCAGTTGCAGCAGAACATAAGTACTTTTTTGAATTCCAATATTCTTCATAATCATCTGGACTTGGTGGTTCATCTAAAATGCAGACAGCAATTATGATTTTGAATATACTATAAAATATGAAGATTACAATAAATATCACAATTATTATAATTTTTTAAAGTATAAGTAAAAATATATGAATACCATATTATTACATAGAAGACAATCGCAAAAGCAAGCAACTTTTACCTGTAGGAAGAAAAGGTTCAATACAAGGAGCATTTTTGACTGTAGAACAATTTTTATGTCTTAACACTGGTGCTACCCAAGTAAAATTATAACATCCAAGAAATGCTTCATCTGCTTTAACTACAAAATAAATGATAAATGTAATTTTATTATTCTTTTTTATATTTGCAAAATTTTAATGTTAAATATAATTACTCAGTACTAAGGATCCTCCACAGATAATTAAAAACACACATAAATTAATTTCCATCATGTTGATTTATTTAATGCTTTACTCTGACCACTTCATCCTGCTGATTATTTTCAATAGTACATAAAACTTATCTGATGAAGATAATCGTTATCATAGTGATATGTTATGTATCAGATGCTCCTATTGTCCAACTTCATATTAAACTAGATATACAGGTCAAAGTTATTTTTATTTGTATATAAAGAATAAAAAAATAATTATCACAAGCATTAGATATATACAATGTACAAAGTATATTTTATTAAGTGAAATAATATTTGTAATTTATTACAATGACTAATATGTATATATATATTTACACTTTCGAAGAATCTAATGACTTTTAGTTTACAAGATAGTTACAGATGTTATAAGAAACAAGATAAGTAAAAATTAGCCGTTATAAAAAAATTCTTATTCTAGTAGTAAAAATAAATATTTATAGTAAATGCTTCATACATTTCTTGATATTCTTTGTTGCCTTTCATTTGTTTATAAGAGTATTATTTAAAAATTGTGTGTGAAATTTTATTAAAATTCATCATGTCGGCCTAATGCTTCACCAAAATCAGTTGCTTGAGAACCAACAAAAATATCATATTTTTCCAAGATTTCATCTTTAGTAAGTTTTTGGTCTGCATCTGTATCTGCTTCAAATATGAGATGTCGAGATTCTGCTTCTGCATGATCAAAATCAACTGGGACAATCCAAGTTCTGACCTAAATTAAAATATTTGATTAATTGAAATTTATTATTCTAATACGATCATATATTTCATATAAAAATATATATCACCTCTTCAAAGTCTAGAAAACCATCACCATCTTTATCACGATACATAGAAAATTGCTCCTTTTCATTTTTTATCCATTCTGGTTCTTCTTCACCTTCAACACCATCATACATATCACCTACAGACGAACATATAAATTCTTTTTATTGTTTGTACAAATCAAGTGCAAGAAAGAAAAGTGAAATATATACCAATAAATTCTGAAAGAGATATTTTGCCATCTCCATCTTTATCAATATCTTCTATAGCTTCTAATACTATGATATCCTTCATATGATCTGCCTCCTCTGCGTGAAGGAAAACAGCAAATTCTTCTTTTGTAAGTGCATCATCACCATCTAAATCTGCAGCTTGCCAACGTCTACGTTCTTTCTTAAGCATAGCAATATATGAGAAAGTATTATCTTTAGATTTTTCATAGTTCTCTGCTTCTTGTTCATCCATATCTCCAAAAACCATTGCTGAGTATTTTGCCCATGGAAGTTTCTCTTTCTCCTCTGGATTATGAGATTTCCATTGACGTTCAACATCATCTCGTATATAACGTTTTTGCGTATATAATATCCAGTCTTTCAGCTCTTCTCCAGTAACATAACCATCTTTATCTTTATCTATTTTATCAACTATCACTCCTAATTTCCTTGTACTTTCTTCGGGGGTAAGCTGATCAAAAGTTTTTGCTTCTTCACCTAGGAAAGCTTCATGGTCATAGGCAGAATTATGTTGAGAATTGATGTAATGTTCTTCATTGCTTGGTTCCTGAAATAAATCTTATGAATTAAAAATATATATTTGATAATAATAATAATAATAAACGTTATTTATTTGAAAAATGAAAAAGGACATTTGGACGTATTCCAAGGTTATGTACCAAATATATAGACAATAGATTTGTTTACTATTACGAAATAAATTGTTTTTATTTTTAAACAATTGAAAATGAATGTTTCTTATTGTACACAAGTTATTTAATAGACAAACCTTGTTAAGTACTCGCGATTGATGTTCATTTTCCGGCTTCGGAATTGCCGTCGCCAAAACAGAAAAACCAATAAAAATTTGGAGAAGCATGAATTCTTGCATAACTCGTTTAATTTACAAGGAAAAAAAAAACGATTATCCAAAGTTGGCAAATCAATGAAATTATTAGGATTTTAAACGTCAGAAGCAATGGTAGTTTCTTCCTTAGCTTTAGTTCAGCTTACTCGAACTTCCACAGCAGTAAAACTTTGTCTTGCTTCATGCTACATCCCCACTTTCTACATACTACATATTCGTTTCAGAAATCGTTTCTGATGCTGATGCTGAAATGCCTCTGCTCCATATCACAAAGTGTCATGACCGAGTTACATATATACTAGTTAAATACTATTAATGCGTATGATTACATGTGACTGGTCTACGTGGTTATCGATAAATGTACAAGATAAAACTTTATTTAATCGAAATAATGTATTGTATTAGAACAATTTGGATGATAATGTTATATTTAAAAATTTTTGATATTAAAATTTAAACATTCGTTAGAAATAAATTATACAAGAGATTTTTTTATTGAACATCATTTCCGTTTAATAGAGATTAGTGAATATTAATTACGCTACTAATACAAGACACTGCATTAACTATAATATATTAAACGAAGTGTCATGTGATCAAGATAATTAACGTCAGTTAAATGAGGCTTAACATCTACGTTCTATTTCATTGTATTTGACATTAATAAATAATCAACATGTACATTTATTGTTATAGTATTGATCGCCTCATCAGAAGTTACGAATTCAACTACTTGATTTTTGACTATATCGGCATATGCGTAATTCATTATCACAATGAAAACATTCATTCTCGTTCGTATAGTTTTAAAGGAAAGTACGCATTCTCTCTGTGTATACAATAAGAACCTCACATCTAATTTTAGATCCAACGTCTGTAACGATATTTCTCGTGAACCTCTCAAATTGTAGTTTCATTTATTCGCGATGAAAAGATTTTCATCTATATATATATTATCTATTATTTGTAGCCGAAGTTTATATAAAATTTTACTATGTTATAAAGAAATTTTACATACCCATAATATAATAACAACTTTTGTTACACATTTCCATGTATGCATATGTGCAACATGAACGTGATAGAGAAACGAATATTCACCCCTTTTCCAAAGCCGGCCGCTTTAATGATAATTTTCTGTAATGAATGATTCACCTGCAACGATTCTCTTTATCTGGGGTACGCTTATCCAGTTATCTTATATTTGTTGATGATAAAGAGAATACTAGCCAGAAGAATCAGTTATACACTGCCGTATACGTTCATAGAACTTACGTTACGATTCATACCGCGTTATTAATCGATATTAATTTTTAAAGCGATTTCTGCGGAAAGAATCCGCGTTCGAACGTGCTTTTCCATTAATGAAAAATTTATTCGAAATATACGAGTGCTAAAAATAACTGTGGAACGATGGTTGCGAAAACTTCCGGGCCCCAATTAGAGCAACGAATTCAGTGTATAAAATTTACGATTTTTTGCTTGAATGCCATCATATGGGTAAGTATAGAAGTGCATGCACTTAGAGTTCTAATTTAACCGATAACATTAAACGCTTTGTTATCGATTTATTCCGTATAAAAATTAGAATACAAAGACACTTATGAAAACTATTCTAATAAAAGTTTCATTTAGTAATATTTTGAAAGAATATCGTTGAAAACAATTTTTTCAACTATGAAATTTCTATCAAGTTTATTATTATTATTTTTTTTACATTATCGTTAATAATCAATTCGTTGTGTACAATTGTCATGTGCAGTTGATTGATCAATATGTACAACATTATATACTTAACGTAAATAACTTTGCACAGGCAATTTAATTTGAAATGGTTCTTATTGCAATACAGGCACATCCTCGTTATATTTGAATCAATGTGAGTCAGATCATGACATAGTAATCATATCTGTGTTTATCAGCGTGACGAATATGAGACAGTTATGGCTTGAGAACTAAATGTTAAAATTGAAAAATTCGATGAAACATGTTACACATATTCTTCTTTCTTATGTAATAATTTTTTTTATTTTTTTTTATTGAAGCATCGAAGTTTAAATGAAAATTAAGCATAGAATAAATATAAAAAAAAAAACAAATATAGCAAATATTGGCTTAAATTTAACATTTAATAGTTTATTGAAATAATTTTGAAAAATATTACATGTATATCGTAGTTACTTGGAAGCTCGATGTTTGGATTATGCATGTGGCTAAGGATGGATCCAGGTTTTCAGGAATGGGTTGAATTCCTCGAAATATACGAATTTTACATCGGCATTTACATCTTACTTGCGGCTTCGATATTTATCATAATTATCACGTTCATCGGCTGCGGAGTCGCTCTTATGGAACATATTCTCGGTCTCTATGTTGTAAGGCATAGATATATTACGATTAATCAATTTCATATTATTATTTCATGATCATCATTAAACTAATTGTAAGTTCAGAATACGTCCTCTTTAAGTTAAGTTTTTTTTATAAAAGCGGAAGTATTCCATATTTATATTAAGAGTACTTTACTTTAAATATATTAAGAGTATTGGTTACAAGAATGTACGAACTCTAAGCAAAATCGTATCGATTTTTCAAGTACGTGGGACTGCAATTATTTTCCTACGTTCTTGGTCTCGTTGGCACAGCACTCCTCCTCGATTATTCCACCTACGACAGTAAGATTCAGCCTCTTATAAGACGATCCATGACTTCCCTCATCAATAACTACCACGACGAAAGGGCAACGTACATTTTACAATTAATTCAAGAAAGCGTAAGATAATGTGTTATATTATTTATTAACAAACGTACATATCGTTCACTGTATATTGTGCTGCTGTTTTGAAATAACCAGCTAATCGAGTGATTTTTAAATAGATCGGTTGCTGTGGTGCCGATGGTCCAATGGATTATATAACCTTGAGGAAACCATTACCCACTGAATGTAGGAACACGGTTACTGGCAATGCTTTCTTCTACGGATGCGTCGAAGAAATTTCATGGTTTCTGGAGGGAAGATCCGGCTGGCTGGCTGGCTTATCATTGGCTCTATGTATGCTCCATGTAAGGCATCAACTATATCTTATAAAAAGATGAATAGTAAGTGTTTATAAATTACTGTACTTTGTAAATCAAATTTTACAGATAATAATAGCTGCTCTGAGTCTAACGTTGATCCGAGCTATTAAGAAGGAAGAACAATATGTCACATTCAAACGTTAATTTATATTAATTTTCATGCCAAACTGTTCATCGCATATCCTCCTGCGTTCCATAATAATGTACATATAATTAATTACTAGACTGCGGATGTTTGTGCATTTATAGAAAATTGAAAGCAACACTTTGCAAAATGTTCGTGATACGAAAAGATGTATACAATTTTATTAAAAATAAAATACACATTGCAATGATTAATATTTAATATTAATATAATCTGTTGAAACTTCATACATTATTTTGACAAAAATATAAATGCAAAACATCAAATGTATCGTGCACGTATGCATTAACATTTGCAGACTATTAAAGTGGCATTACAATATTTACATCGTAAATTGATATTTCATATGTAATATTCTTTTTAACAAACATTCAACAACAGTTTCTTTAAATCTTTACGTAGAGCAAATATTTTTAAATGAAACGGAGTATTCTCAGCGTATATCGAATGTATTCTTCGTCGAAAAAGAATTTTTGTACTGCTGTGTTCACATCACAGGGTTTAGAAAATTGAGTACACATGCTCGTTTTAAATTTAGAATTCAATTTCGTTACGTATTTCCATATGTTTCATATTTTTAGATTGTTCGTGCTTACTTTAGAATATTGAACGAATGGTACTAAACTTATGATTTATTCTTCTTATCAATTATGTTACGTCGATGCTCTACTTATTATTTTTTATACTTAATTTCACACAACATTTCAATGTTGTTTTATACACATATTCTATAATTACATATTTTGTCAAAGACTATGACATTTTACGAGCTATTTAGTTCTTCTTGTTTTACATCCATCGCAAACATATGGCAAGCGATGTAAGTAAGAATGGAATAATGACAATTTCATTTCTCTACCATTATTTCCGACTAAATCAAACTAAATGAAAAATATAATTTATTCTGATTTAATCGACATATTTTATATATTAATATCCAATTTTTTAATTATGTATAATAAAATAAAATAGTTAAATATAAAAACTTAGGCTTTATTTATGTCCTTCAACTTCCTACAATAAAATTAAAAAACGCATATTTATTTTCATATATTTTATTTACAAAATTTTCAATGTATATATATCAATAGAGTGGCCACTATAAATTTATATACAATGTCTTCTTCATTGACCAATTAATAAATTATTTATTAAGTAAATAAAAAAATGTTAAACGATTCTGTGTTTCTGACGTTATTCACGCATGACGATATGTATAATTATACGTAAACGAAATGTAAATGATAAATGTTTGCTCTTGTATAAAAAAAAAAAACTTTAGAATATTGCTCTTCACTCATTATTAGTTTAGCTTCTCACTCATTTATAATAAGCAACATTAAGACAAATATTGAAACTTTTGCAATGAAAAGCTTAAAGCGTTTGTTCTACTTTTGTTTGATTCAATTGGTCATGTGTTACAATGTGACGTACGTGTCACTCATAATGCATGAACAAAAAGCAAGTTTTAACACATTGGATACCAGAATGGCAAACGCGTGTGCCGATTAAAGATGAGAAACACAATGGTCACCTACTTATGTACTTTCGCTTTATATTCCGTGTTATCATTTACACTCTATTCCTCGAAAGTCAGAGTAATAGATTGTATCTTGCGTACTAATACTAGGTTCTAGATTTTAAATACCTTAAATAAGATTATGCTAAGGTAATGTTTGGACGGCAAAAAAAAAAAAAAAGACAAATTGGAATTGATCAACTGAATTGTACATTCCAAACTTTAATTTGATCATTGAAGGGTAAGACGAGAAAATAGGGAATGTCTACATTTTATGGCTTTACATGGCCAACATGCTTTATTCACAATTATAACTTTAATTTAATTTCTAATATTTAATTAAGTTATCAATTATATTACGAATAATACAATCAAACTCATAGAACTTTCTTCTTTGTTCGATAGACTAGAGTATTAAAAAATTGATAAAATATCACGTTCCTTATTTTTCTTTATTTACCCTTCAATAATTGTAATTTCTCTCATTTACTTGTATGTTCCTGAACAATTTATATGTTATACTTATCAAATATATCATCAACATTATCATCATCTGGTGCCTTTCGATCACTTTCTTTAACATTTTCCGATTGATCCGATGCAAATGTATTATTTTGTTCTTCTTTCGGATTTGTATTCCTTGGAAAATAACATTCTTCGGCTCTCGATACGTTTGGAACAACTCTGCACGCTTGGCGCGAATCGACGAGGCCTTATCCTACGAAGGGGAAAGCTGGATAGCCGACAGGCGGAGGATAGTAACCTGGAAAGGCTGGGACTGACGGTTGTACAGGTAAGGTGGTCGTAACGTACGTGGTGATCTCGGTTGGCACCACTCTGCTGGAGAACAACGTGGTGTACGCCGTTTTCGCTCCGAACGTCAGCTTCAAAATTTTCGACTCGGACACGGTAGCGAGCGTTTGCGTGACCAGAGGGGCGCTCGTCACTGTGAATTGCGGCTGTTGTGGAAACAGTGGCAATTGCGGCGGCAATTGCGGTGGCAATTGCGGCGGTAATTGCGGTGGCAGGACCGGAGCAATTGTGGACGTGCCGTATTCATAAGATGTCCGTGGCACAGTGCCGACTGGCCTGGATAACGTCGAGTAAATGGTGTTGCCGTTGTTCACTACCGGGATCACGTGAGACTCGTAGAGCGTGTCGAGAACGACAACCGGCCGAGAAGTGGTGATCACTTGTGGCTGCTGCTGACCGAAATACTTCAACAGAGCCAGCTGATCAGGCGTCAGTTGTGGTTCAATGGAACTGCTGCTCGGTGTTTCTGACTTTACCTTCGAGGACGAAACGGATTTGAAGGGCTCTAAGTCGGAGTCCGTGTCGCTGTTAGGAGCCACCACTCTTTTGGGAATGTCATCGTCGTCCCTGTCTTCGTCACCGACGTCCAACTCCAGATGAAGTTCGCTACCTGCTTCGTCCAGCTTCGAGTTGAACTCGTTCAACGCTTTACTGGGAATGAACTGATAGATGTCCATCGGCGGCAGTGTCTTCGTAGCAGTGACCACGCGTGCGATGTTGTACGTTTGCACGAGCGTCAGTTTGGTCGTGTTACCGCCGTATATTACTGGAAGCAGATGAGTCTTGAGAAGAGTTTGGGTAGTAGAGAAGGTCTCGGTCAAGGTCTCCAAAGGTGGAGTCGCTTGGCCAGATTCTAAAGATATAGCCGGCAGAGTTGCCACCGCCGAGTCTAACGGCAGTGTCGTTTCATACGCTGCCGCAGTATTTGCCAAGAGATTCTCGGTCAGAGGTTCCGATGGCGATACTGTGCTGGATGGATCTATCGTTTGAAACGACTTCTTTATCGTTGAAGTTACTGTCACGTAGCGAGTATTTTTCAACGTCCCGACCTGTTATCGAAGGCAACAGATATTTTATCAAAATATTGCAAATACATACAAAAACGCATGTAAATAATTTCTCACCTGAAAAGTATACGGCGATTTAATAGTAGCAATTTCAAAGTACACGTTGCTCATATCGGCGATTGTGGAAATCTCGAGATTGATTGTTTCGACCGGTAAAATTTGTTCAGGATGATCCTGAACGCTGACACTGGCGACGTCCTCGCTTTCGCTCGGATCTAATTCATCGTCGTTCACCCCTTCCTGAATTTTTCTCTGAGCATTGACTTGTTGACCAGCTGGAACCGCTGACGTCGTTGTGGACGTGGAAACGGAGGATGCGGTAGTTTTGTTGTCGTCGACGTTCACCGGGCTCTCGGTTGTACTGCTTTCTATTGTAGAACGTTGTTCCTCCTCGATGTCGGCTTGCTTTCGGATGGCGATTCTCGGCTTAGGAGTCGTCTTGTAAGACCAACGGCCTTGGGTTCTTGGTAGCTTCAACTTGGGCACAGGATTGGGACTGGCCGGTTGTTGCTCGCTTCTGTTTTTGTTAGTTTGCTTCGACGGTAGACTTGGCTGGTTGCTTGGCCGGAAGCTGCTGCGACGACGAGTAACAGGTGGTTCTGTGGTTGTCGTTGGAGGGCTTCGGTTCCTGATGAAATTAATTGCGCAGAGATCACGTGAAAATACACGTGCTTGCAGCCAATATATTTAAACAAAAACATGTTACGACACTGACTTGTAACTTGGTCGTGGAGTAGTGCTGCTTCGATTTTTATTTGGTTTCGCTTGTTGCACTTCGCCACTGCCATCGTAGTCATCGTTGATCTTGTTGCGGAACTTTGGTCGGGATAAATTCGGGCTCGAGTTTTTTCGTGTGCTTCTTACCGTGGAACCTAGCAACGTAAGATTTAGATCATATCCTGTTTCATTCATTGATTCACATATTTAAAATTTTCTGCATTCGACATATTTTACCAGGCGAGGCGCTAAACAAGACTTCCAATGGCAACGATGGCTCTTCTTTCTGATTCGTCGGTGTAGGCTCTAATTGCGGTTTCAGCTTTCCCTGCTGCGGTCCAATAGTTTTTAGGATTCTTTGCGTACTAGACGGATGAATTTTCCCCTCGGGGACCGGCGGCGTGCCGGAAAGAATCCTCGACGAGCTCTGAAGCACCTGAGCGTACTTGCCATTTATGTACGTGCCGATCACGCTAGTCTCGTGAACGGTAGTCAATCCATCCTTAACGATAGTGCCGCCGAGCTTCGTGACCAGGCCAGTTGGATTCTCTTTCTCTCGTCTACCTGTTGGTCTCGGTTTACCGTGGGCTTTCGAGGAAGGTCTTAGATTAATTAACTGCAAAAAATTGAAGTAAACGTTAATTGAGACAGTTATATTATCAAACTACTTTTGTCAATAAAAAAAAAAAAAAAAAACAATGCTTTAAAAAGCTAGAGACTAAAAATTTTTAAAGATCTAAGGTAACACTTGAATTGGAATCGATATTCTTCAGTTATGTGCCGAGCATAAAGATTTTTATCCGAATGAACTTTAAACATACGTAAGTCTTGAATCGGTGTGCTACAGCGGTGAAATCTTGTTTATCATGCAATCTGACGATGGGGACTTAACTTTCACGCGGTTCATGGCCGATTGCTGTATAATAATCAATAAGATGAACACATATATCTGACGAATGTATCAATCATTACAAAACAAACAGTTTTATTTTCAATCAAATAATAGCATCAAGAATATATTATAATTATTGTGATAGTTGTATCATATTTATGGCTACGTGGCGCTTGATAGATCCTTGACCATTCTTAGTAACATTTCCATATACACTCTTCGTGGAAAATATATTTCAGAATCGATTGATTTGTAGCAGGGAGAACTAGATTTTCTGGTTCAGTCACCTTATCTCGCATTCACGCGCAGTCGACGACAATTTGTGTCAATGTCAATAATATGCAATGAGGAAGGCTTGATCGGTGAAAAATCGCACTGCTGATCAATGAGTTGGAACGGAAGGCTTTCCTGTAATTTGTTGCTCGTGTACCGTAGAATTATTCATTCTTTTTTAATAGAATACGTGCTTACGAGTTTACTAGCAGCGTAGTAAAAACCTCTATTATTAAAAGATCGAAAGATCAATATTCTTTACTCGAGTGGCATTTACCTTATACGTTTCGTCAACTACTTCTGCTGGCTGCTTCGACAGAAAGTCGTACTCAGGCTCCGCGAGATTATTCTTGACGACAGGCGTCTCATCCTTCGATTTTACCTGTGTTTGCGATGATATCACAGGAGCTTTTGTCATCACCTGTGTTTGAGTTTTTGGTTCCTGTAATGTAGGCAAGAGATTTACATTAAATGTTAGATTTATATATACTGAACGTTAGATTTTATTATTAATCTAATTTTATTATTATGTTTATTGAGTTTATTATTAGTACTAAGTGGTAGAGCGTACAAAATGATTCACATTATTTTCACTTAGAGATAAGTTTATACTTGTAACATAAATACCATCTCAATTTTTATTTTGTTAACAAAGCGTTCAACTGTAAATTCAACAAGCGTCCATCCAACATCCAGATGTAAAGTATAATCGTTTACTTTAAGTTTACGTGGTCGTTTGAAAGTAGAAATCTCTTACACAGGTTGCCTGTATGTATTATACAAGGGCATAGATAGACAGGCATGAATAAACGACTTAAACCGGAAAAGTTTGTTTCGTAGAAGGGAAAGCAAACTTACTTCCTATTTTACGCGTGCTCGTTCCGATTATATTACATTTATTTAGATCTCTCACAACAATAAAATTCAAGACTCGTCCGTGTTTAATAAATTTCACCACTATATTGACAAACGCATCCTTTTAACATTTAGGAAGACCATCATTAATTCATCTCTCACCTGATTTTTTGCTGTTCGTAATCCATTATCCTCGGAATTGATGACATTCTGCTCGATCACAGAATTCACCACAACTTTCGTGCCTTTAGCTTGTTTCCTCGTTTCTTCCTCGGAACTTGTCTTCAGTGTCTTGCTCGGTTGAATAGCAGCAGCCGCCTTTTCCTTCGTCTCGCTCGGTTTCGTCTGGATAATGGAAACGCCGTTTTCTTTTTCTTTTTCACCGTCTGTAAGGCGATACCGACGAGCAATTAAAATCGTCAAATATCATCGAGAACGTACGAGTGAAAACTGAAACTGAACGTTGATTAACTCAATCTTGTCTATGTGAGTTCAAGCTTCGACTGCATTGTTGAGTAATTTTTTCGTGTTCAAATTAAAGGTTTCAGGACTACGAACATCGAACAATAGATATCCTTCTGCTCGTGGTTGTAAATGAACAATAAAATGACACACAGGAGGCGTTGAGTTAAAAGACTTCACAATGGACACGGTGTAGCCAAATCTACACGTGTCAGGGACATCCGTAGCTGAAGACCTTGGTATAATTTGACAATTCTTCATATTTCTTCAATATTTCTTAATACATACAACTAGAATGTAAAACTACTAAGTTTGTATTTAAAATTTATCACAACCTAATAATTTCCCTCAATTCTTAATATTTCTTCAATATTTCTTAATACATACAACTAGAATGTAAAACTACTAAGTTTGTATTTAAAATTTATCACAATCTAATAATTTCCCTCAATTCTTAATATTTCTTCACTGGTCTTAATATATACAACTAAGACTGCTAACTTTATTTAAAATTTATCACAACCTAATAATTTCTCTCAATTCTTCATATTTCTTCAGTGGTCTTAACACATACAACAAAGACTACTAAGTTTGTATTCAAAATTTATCACAATCTAATAATTTCTCTCAATTCTTCATATTTCTTCAGTGATCTTAATACATACAACTATAATGTAAGACTACTAAGTTTGTATTTAAAATTTATCACAATCTAATAATTTCTCTCAATTCTTCATATTTCTTCAGTGGTTTTAATACAACTGTAATGTAAAACTACTAAGTTTGTATTTAAAATTTATCATAATTTATTATAAATATGGGGCAATATAAGTTTATATTTCCTCTCGAACAATTTATGGCTCTGTTGAAAACGATGGGAACATTGGAGTTCATTGAAACTGCTGAAAGTAAGGGGACTTTTCTCAAGCAAAAGACTTTAAAAAATTATACCTGCAGGCGCGCTCTGTGGGCTGAACACCATCACCGTATTTCCAATTGTTGTAGTGAAATCCAAGAATCCGTAAACGGTTTGTGTAATGAAATCGTCGTTCACAACAGCCGGTGGTTTGATTACTACAGCAGTCTCGACTGACTGACTCTTGTAAACTTGAGTCGCGCATTCTGTAACTGAAAAAGTGAAATCAAGTAGCTCTTTGGTATTGCTTATCTTTATTTCATGAACGATTGCTCGAGGAACTGTCGTAAAGTGTAACGTGTAATGTCTTTATGTAACGCGTTACGTTACGACACGTTCATAACGTAATAATATGTGATTTTAGCCTCAAATTCCACAAGAGAATCTTCGTTCATCAAAGGAATCCCTTTTTTTTTCATTTTCTTTATTAAGGCGACTCTAAAATAGAAATTTATGAATCATATAAACAGTACCACGTTTACGAGATTAATTTTCAGTCTAAATTATGATATATATATAATATATAAAATATAATTTTTACAGCGTGACAAAGTATAATGAACTTTTCAAGAAACGAAATGTAGCGTGATTTGGTTTAATGCGAATATTTCTGCTATTTCTTCACGTTGCGAAATAAGAACGAAAGCAAAGATGGCGAACAACTTTTCAAAAATTGTGCCTTCTTTCGCGGAACATTCGTCTCGGTCCCGAAATTTACATCTGAATCATAGTTAATTTCGCACTCGGACGGCGTGTCCGATGCTGTAACGAAATCGTCGTTGCCTACAAATCGAAGTCCTTTATATTACTGAAGAGTAGTAAATACGTGCATACGTGTATTTCTCTGCCTGGTACGTGGCAAGTGTGGGAACGAGTAGCCATTTGGTAATAAAGAAACGTGTTGAAACCTTTTGATCGACGCGTCTAGTATGTATTGGATCAACGTGGATCAAAGTAAACGTGTATCTTTATTTTTAATATTACGTGTGCTCACTATCTCCACTATGAAAATTGTTTCTTACTTCTGCTGTGTATAAAGATAGGCTTTCAAAGACAAGCTAAAAAGTTACGAAAAAAAAAAAATGTTCGAAGTGCAAAGGAGTGTAGTTTCTTGAAATTATAGGGTGGCCACTGAAAGATTGAAGGTTTATTTTTTATCTTTTCTTTCACACATAATACTGAGAAAAATCCATTATTTATATTTTCAAATAAAATAATAAAACACTAAAAAGACACGTGTTTGTAAAAGTTATTTTTATTTTATATCATTCGATTTTTCAGTGACCATCCTGTACAATCATGGATGCTATGAACGTACGTACGTATATGTCGTGCAAAATTTTTGCAACATTTTTATCTCGTCAACGATTTGTCAGTAAATTAAGATTAAATTAAGCGTGACATCGGAATGTAAATCGAACGAATACTCACCACATATTAACGATATGGCGATAATCAAATATTTCGACGGCATCGTAGTCAGTCTGCTTTCATTCTACGTCGTAGCATGAATTTCCAATCTGAAACAAAGCGCTTGATCAAGTGAAAATTCGTTTAAACGATTTTACGTTAAATCAAGATTAATACTACCCTCCTATTTAATATAACGTCTCTCCGATCGTTCACGGTTACGGGCGCAGATTAAATTGCAAATTACACAATGTCCTCCCCGTTATAAAGTTAAACCGCAATTGAAATTCATTTTTCAGAGGACAACAATCGAAAAAAAAGAGAAGGAACCTAATCTCGCCGTATAATGCGAACAGGTTTACACAACACAAACGTGGTAATGGAAGATTCCAAGAAAGTAATCATGGTGAATGCATAAATAAATGGTTCTGCTGGGCGTACTTTTACGACGCTGCACGCTTCGTAGCCCCTCGCCATTAGCATAATGGATTTTGTGCAATAATTGTCTTGAACAAATATTCTCCGCGCGACGTGTCGTGAGAGGCTGTTAATCATACGTGGAATATTATTATTATTCTGCGGATGGGACTGTAAATATCGAGGAATAAAAAAAAGTATCAGTTACATCAGTCAGCAGAAATAGTGGTAGAAATGAGAGGAAAAAACGAAGGCATTATTTATTGAATTATACTGTAAATATCGAGGAATAAAAAAAAGTATCAGTTACATCAGTCGGCAGAAATAGTGGTAGAAATGAGAGGAAAAAACGAAGGCATTATTTATTGAATTATACCTACGTCGGGAATATTCAACGCGTTGGAACTACCATTTTAGAAATTTATTAAAACTGACACACCCGTACACGAATATTGTAGGCGCAAGAAATATTTAAAAAACGATTGACAAACGTTCATCCCGGCAAGATAATTTATCAACTTTTACAAAACGTATTTCTTTTCTCGGCGACCTCTGAAATTTCGATAAATTAACAACAAGCGTGATGAAGATAATCAAGTGAATTGTGTTTTGTATTTCGTCTGTTCGTTTAAAAAAAAAAAAAAATGAAAGAACGTGGCGTTTTTATCATTTATGTAACGCTTCACGCGGCCGCCATCCACTTTTGTCCAATTTCTTTTTGCCAAAATTCGTGATGCGTGATTTTTTAATCACGACAAGATAAATAGTTATCCGCGGGAACAACACAGTGAAAAAAAAAAAAACTATACAAAAAAACCTTACCTCGTTCGTTCTACCTCGTTTTAAAATGTAAAATATGCAAATGATGTTTGTTTCTTTTTTGTTTTGCAGGCTCGTTATTTTCAGATAGGCTTACATCAGTCGTTGAAACAACAGTTAAAATAAATATGTTAATTAAGATCGAGTCACTTTCTAAAGAAACACGCGCGTGTGCGTTTTGCTCCTTGCAAAAGAAAAAGTCATACGATTTTTCGTGTCTAATCTTCGTACGAATTTTCTATGCTCGTTTACGCAATTAAGGTCAGTACACACAGAGCCACGAGGCTTTACCTAATACAGTTCATTGTAACGTGCAACGCGTCCCCCGCGACGCGACGAGAGACAAAACGTATGAATGACATCCTGAACGATGCGTTATCTCATCATGCGCACGTACATGCTTACGAAGAATCGCGTACCGTTGAGAAGCCAGCGAAATTGTTGCGCAAGAGCGGCGTGCTGTTGGTAATCAGTTAGCGTGAAACAATAGTAAAAGGCAATACCGTTTCTAGCTTGGATGCTTAACAGGCATGACTGGAATTTGTAATTCTAGATCGATTCGTCAGACTGGAAACGACAACAATTTCTTTTCCCGCGCGAAAGTTTACTTGTTGAAAGAAATTTACGCTTCTCTATTTTATTTTGTTCTTTTTTTTGTTTTTTTTTTTTAATTTTAGAAAAAAGAAATGTCAAATTTACGGAAAGTTTTTAATTAATTGATAATCAAAGGGTCAACATTGTTTTAACACACATGCAAATTTTATAATTTTATAATTTCTTACAATTCAAAAAAATTTATTCGTTTATTGTAGCATTGCGATAAGATGGTGCATTTCTTTTTTACACGTTTGTGTGGAAAATAAGTATGCAGAGAAATGTAGAAAATAGCACTCTTTATGATATTTAATGAAAAGAAATCATTTTTCTACCTAGGTTCCGCTTTATTAATTATCTTCACTGAAAATTTTCAAAACTTTCAATAACAATTTTCTACCAAGGCTTTTGTTAGTTATCTTCAGTGAAAATTTTCAAAATTTTCAGTAACAATTTTCTACCAAGGCTTTTGTTAGTTATCTTCAGTGAAAATATTCAAAACTTTCAATAACAATTTTCTACCAAGGCTTTTGTTAATTATCTTCAGCGAAAATTTTCAAAACTTTCAATAACAATTTTCTACCAAGGCTTTTGTTAATTATCTTCACTGAAAATTTTCAAAACTTTCAATAACAATTTTCTACCAAGGCTTTTGTTAATTATCTTCAGCGAAAATTTTCAAAACTTTCANATAACAATTTTCTACCAAGGCTTTTGTTAATTATCTTCACTGAAAATTTTCAAAACTTTCAATAACAATTTTCTACCAAGGTTTTTGTTAATTATCTTTAGTGAAAATTTTTAAAACTTTCAATAACAATTTTCTACCAAGGCTTTGTTAATTATCTTCAGTGAAAATATTCAAAACTTTCAATAACAATTTTCTACCAAGGTTTTTGTTAATTATCTTCACTGAAAATTTTCAAAACTTTCAATAACAATTTTCTACCAAGGCTTTTGTTAATTATCTTCAGCGAAAATTTTCAAAACTTTCAGTAACAATTTTCTACCAAGGCTTTGTTAATTATCTTCACTGAAAATTTTCACCGAAGCATTGAATGAAAAGCGGTGATGATTCGCGGATAAATTTTGAGAAGGATATTTTACGATAAATCGATAAAAGGAAATCAGTGTTAGAAGAAGTATCGTGAGTTCATAACCCGTTCCTTTCACTTGTATTCTCCCAAGATATTGCGGCAAGGTATACGGTATAATCCGCACGCTTGCAGTAAAAAGCGCGAGCGATCCTTGATTCGCGCGTTACTATCGCAAAACGCTCTACTAATAGGAAAGTCGAAGTAATTATTGACAATCCGCGTGTTTCAGCTGTTCGTCATATCCTTCTTGTCCGCGTTAGTTTCACGGAATACGTCGTTTTACTCTTTAAATAAAATACAGAAATTTATAAATAAATCTCGCTGCTTCAGCCACTTCAAAACTATCTTACGGAAGAATTATCTTCTCGAGAAATCTCATGGAAATTTTGTTAATTCTATTTATTGTACATATTGTATCGCGTGTTGTAATTGAACTCATGTTTGTTGATCTGTAAGACCTGATTTACTGGTGAGTAGACTTTTTAGAATCAAAAAATTTTTATTCATGGGATTTCAAGGACTGTCCAAGCTGTCGCTCTATAACATCCGCAATAAGGAGTGGTCTCTCGCAAATGCACCTCAACGCCCAACTGTAATATCGCATACCCAAGTGGAACACGTTCGAAGAAACGTTATGGTTTACATTCATACCATACCACCGCAGAGTAAAAAGCCTTGCACGAACAAAGTGCGGTTTTTCACGTTGCTCGAAAGTTTTTAGAGATTTTCACGGGACGTGCATGATTTGTTACGTGATTTGTTACAACCTATAAAACGGTCAAACGAACGTTCACGTTACGATACTCGATTCGTGAAACAAATCTATTTACGTTTACAGCTTGCGATTTTTTAATTATGTTCGTACAAATGCGAATAAAATTCGATACGTTTCTGTCAAATTTCAGAAATCTTTCAGAGATATTCTAAGATAGCACAGATCCTTAAGAAGCTTGAAACTTCCAGGATTTTCCAACTCCTAAAGATTTTTCTATAAAGGTTCAGCAGTTCGCTGGATTTTTCAGTTTGTGCCACAAACGGCAACGTTTTATATTTATTTTCATCATCGACTCGTATCCAGATGATGAAAATTATCAGGAAATTTACAACCGTCGATACATAAATCAGGTTTCGCGAGACTTTTCGAAAATTTATAGATATCCATGCGCGTTTCAAAAATTAACATTAAATTCGCGACTCGTTAATAAAAAAATTAATATGAATAAATAATAATAAAATTATAGACTCGGAATTAGTCTCATAAATTGAATGAATTTTTGCCAATTTATGAAACTCATAAAATATTGTTCGTTAGTCAGGAGATATTAAAATCGTAAATTTACATTGGAAATTAATGTTACAACGTCTCGAGTCGAAATTAATTTCCATTCGATTCTGTGTTTCTATAAATTATTGTAACGTGAATAACTGCATTATTACGGAGTGGTTTCGCTGACGTAATCCAAGTTACGAAATCCAAGCTGAGCGTGCAAACGAAGACGAATTGAATTAATAATAAATTCAATTGATATCTAATTAAATCGCTGCTTCTTCAAATAAATGATCTTTCGTACGTCGTTCTGTCAAATTTAATATTCATGGATTATCCTCTTTAATAAATTCTCGTTGCGATTTCAACGCGATACAACCGTATTTTTTTTTGGCAGAGTAATCGAGCATTAGGTACTTGATGATTCAGACGAACACCGCACTACTCGTGTCTTGAATATTGAATAAATAATTTTTCCATTGAACAGCGTGTAACGGTCCTTTAAGTCCTTCGAGGTCGAAGGATTTCTTCCTCCGAAGAAAATTACCACTGTATACACATATGTACGTACAAATTGCAATTTCACTTAATTTATTGAAAATGTAAGAACAATCATTGACAATGACACGGTAGGTATAATCACCATGTCATTGGTAATACCTACACAGTGACTCAGAAAACTTATATGGCGAATTTATTTATATTTGTGGTAATGGTCAAAATGACCAATTTGTAATTTACAGATGTGAGGCAGTGTATTTTTAGAGATTTAAATGATTTTTTGTAAAATGTATAAATAAAAGCTTGTGTACTTTATTCTATTTTTTTTTTTTTTTACTTTAACATCTCTAATGGAAATTTTACGTTTTAATCAAAGTGTTAAATTCTGACGAATAGATGCTCTACAGGAAAAAAG